GCTAAAAATGGTTCGGGCGTTATTGTAGAGCACAAAGAAAGCTACAAAAAGTGTCCTACAAAAATTTTTGAATCTCATCGGATAGCCGAGTTATTGCCGAAAAACAAATTTTAAGCGTTTTCCAAGATGGCGGCGAAAGCTCCTAGGAAAGCTTGGTCGACAATCTCAAGTTAAGCTTTTCTAGGTATCCCCTACAACATATTAAAAAATTAGAAGCGCAAATTCATTTTCTTTTATTTGCCTTTTTTTCGGACGAAATGACTGGACTACGAGTCAATCACGCACGCCGCCTCACAAGATAATAAAAAACACACACAATATTACTCGTACACTGATGATAAATAGCTCGTCCGTCACCGTCAATATCCGTTGGTATTCAAAATTAAAGCAAAAATCATTGAACTGGTGTAAAATGACGTGCAAAGGGATGTGTATGCAGTTAAAATCTATTTAAAAACACGACTAAAATAATTTGTTTGATAATTTAGCCGTTACATCGGCGATGCATAGGCGGCGCGCACACTGACGACTCGGCGTCGGAAAAAACGCATTACCGATCGCTGGCGGCCGTCAATGAACCGGCTTTAATTAGTTTTTTGCCACGCGGCGTGATTACGTATTATGACAACATAAAATTATGTAACGAAAGACCACCCTCCGCCGCTAAAAAACGCAGCCTTAACACTTCCAAACGTTTTTGCTTTTAACGTACCGCGCAAAAAACCATAACATACGAGCGCAATATGAAAATACGCTATCAGATCGTAACTAGTGATCCATAAACGTATTCGTTAATAAAAATTGAAAACGTTATTAATTAAGTATTAAACACGCTTAATATTAAACGTATCCCAATTAAACTTAGATTACGAACATGGAATTAATGCTAATCGCCTCTGAACAAGGAAAATATGTGCACCGACACGTGACCGGCGATGCTTATTATAAATAATTTACATTTTATTTAACTGCATGCACCGGTCGCGTATCATCGTTAGATAACGATTGTTAAGGCGCTTAACGATGTTTAGCAACAAGAAAGCATTATGCAGAACTTGAAAAATAAGCTAATCTTGCTCTAGCACCCCTGCAAAACGCGGCCGGCAATTAATTTTACTAGCAAACATGTTCACACTTGACTTAGCATAACCAGTTTTTACCCTCCACAGTTAGGATTAGAGGACAAAAGGGGGGGAGAGATTCTATTCAATCCATAAAAACGGCTTTACAACTTCCCGTCTAGACGCACTCGCGTGCTGGGCAGCGTCGTTATTAATATTTAATACAGTCCGCTACATAAACATTTGCGAGGCTGCTGCGGCTGCGGCCGGCCTGCGTTGCCTCACGCGAACTTAATGTGCTGAAACGACCACCTTTTAGGGTTCCGTAGTTTTACAAGGCACCCTAATAGATTCTACAAATTAATCGCTTAATCCCGATAATATCAGTACGAATCTAAACTTCTAAAAAATCGTGATTACTTTGTAGGCCATTCAAAAATGTATATAGGGTATTTTAGATTCAAGTGTATTATCTAAGCCCAATTTAAACCGTTTTTTCAATATACGAAACCCTACATTAAGTTTAATCCAGCTCGCACTTGACCAGTTTTTTCACTCGGGAAATGAAGATGTGCTTTTTAAAGTCTTTTTTTATTTAAATAACCGGCCAATTCAACCACTACATTACATCAACTTAACCGAGATACAAAGCAGATTAGCCTCACATTGTAATTAACTATGATTTTTAGACAAAAGATAAACTCTTTCGCACTTTATGGCCCGTGGCGGCCGTCGTAATTCAAATTTGTTCCTTCAAGGAGTTCCCCTTAATTAAATCTATTAAATAAACGTGTCTTAATTGAGTTTTCTAGAACCGTCTGTGGAATTCCTCGGTTGGCATATGAAATCTTTGTTATGACAAAATTACCATCTCCGGAAATAGCTATGTGTAATTACAAGCTTTTTCTGACGTATATGTTACCGGCTAAAGATTATAACATAAAAATTGTGGCGGCGCGCGCGCGTGCAAGACGATCCGTCTGAAATATTCAAAGACCGCGGGTTGCATTAATAAATTAACGGACTATGTTTACGGATAGCCAGGGATGTGCTAACTGGACCCCGTTGCACTGATATTCTATGTTGGTGATGCCGTGTGATACACTGACTGAAGACGCAAAGCCGACTGCCGATTCTAAAGTGTTATCCCACGAAATTAAATAATTCATTTACTAACTCTGATTCTTTTCTGCGAGCAGTTAGAGACAGCAGAGCAGTTGATATAATCCTTGAACGCTATAGACTTCTTTAAGGCGAGATACATAAATAAGAACTGAAGAAGTATTAAACTACAGATACATAGTGACTTTATTCCAGATTAATTGGTATAAAAGTGGCAACCTTAGTATATGACAGATAAAGATATTACTGTACTACATTGTAAGTGCGTCAAAACGGCACAGTTTAATTTAGAAGATGAAGTATGAAAGTCAAAGTCAAAGTCAAAGTCAAAATTTCTTTATTTGTTTAGACTAATAAATAGTTCTTACAAATCGTCATTTTGCTCTTAAGGAGCCTCTACATGTCTCATAATCTTTTTACCCTACCAGCGCTTCGAGACCAACATTTGGCAAGTGCTGAGAAGAAGCGCCGCAACAAACTCAGTCACCACTGTCTGCCGGTTAATATAAATAAATATAAATAGTAGTAGTAGGTACATTCGATTCAGGAGCAGTTCACTGAATTTACCATGCATTCTTGTATGGTGTATCTTATAAGAATGGGTATACAAGATTGCGTGGTATATTAAACAAGGTAGTGACGTGCTAATATCTAGACTTACATATTAAGATACTAGTAGAAATGACTCGCATACATAAATTTGAATAACTTGGATTGACCAGTCCCCGAAAGCAGCGCCTGTTCACAGACATGACGAGTGAACCAGCCATCGCTTCACTCGACCATATNAATATCACTTTTCTTTTTGAATTCATTAATATTTTGTTGAATAAATAGAATACAGTTTAAGATGTATTGTGAAGCGGCCGTGAGAATGCCAATTTCTTTAAACAATTCTCTAAGGGACGCTCTTGCTTTCATTTTATACAAGTATCTTATCGCACGTTTTTGCAAAATAAATATTGTTTCAAAATCTGCAGCTTTGCCCCATAGCATGATTCCATATGACATTAGGCTATGAAAGTAGCTAAAGTAAACTAAGCGAGCTGTTGAAACATCGGTTAATGACCGTATCCTTTTTATTGCAAAAGCCGCTGAGCTGAGCTTTCCCGCCAGAGTTTCTATATGGGGGCCCCACTGGAGTTTTGAATCCAGGGTAATTCCCAGAAAAACAGTAGAGTCTACCAGATCGATGGCATTATTATTAAGTTCTATTTGGGTACTAATTGTTTTTACGTTAGGCAAAGAGAATTTTATACATTTTGTTTTCTTTGCATTAAGTTGTAAATTATTTGTAGTGAACCAACTTAAAACTCTTGTTAGTGCATTGAACTAATTTCATGAAGAAGAACTAATTTCTAATTGGGACGTTATTAGCGAGAATACATGATTTTTACTAAATTGTTAGTGTTAAGAAAGTTGATTAATGTACTAAAGATCGTGAGGAGCGTGTAAAAACGTAATTTTAAGTCAATTGTGAAAGATATTAATATATTGATACAGCTGTTAAAACACCGAGAAAAAATACAGATGATAGGTGTTCAATCATTTTCTTTAGTTACACTTAGGAATGTTAAAAGTATTGCTCGGTTCAGTATCATCACCTGCAGCCCTACATGTAAACTTGGAACTCCACAGAAAAAAAGTTACCAATTAATCAGTTACCAGGAACAGAAATTCCTATGCGATTAAAAACAACTCATTTGCTTGCATCCTCCAATCGCGTGTATGCATACCAGACTCGTACGCGCGCTTGCGGCCGGCCTAAACATTCGCCTTTATTAAAATAAAAAAACATTAATGCTCATTGAGTCCGTAATTTATTCAAGATGAATATTTTAACGCTTAATTTCTTAATCAGTTGGCTGCATATGAAAATAAAGAGTCTGGCGCCAAATAAAGTAGAAAAGTCTGTACCATGTTATCTATGTCTATGATAGCAAACGGACAAAAAGCATTATAAGATTGACCTTTCGCATCGCAAATACAATGGCTTTGTTTTGATAATAGAAGTTAATCCGTAAATTATTGTAATGCACTGAATTGATCATGCTGTAGCCAGTCATATCTCTCCAAATAAAAGCAAGCCGCGACAGTAAATAGATATCATTGTATTTTAATTCGCCATTGTTGCCTCAAATGACATCATCCAAAGAAGGCAATCGCCTCAAAATGGAATTTATTACGGGGGCAATACCATTCCCATTCAGTCGACAATAAAGGACAATGTTCATTTCTGGCCTGGCGTGGACAAGCTGCTAATGAAAATATGAATTTGCCAAAATTTTTTAATTAATTTTTAAAGTATTCACTTAGTGTAACTTTGTATCAATTTGCCTTTATAAAAATCCAATTTAAATAGTACTTTGTGTGATAATTACAACTTCCTGTCTTTAACACTCAATTCAGTGTTGCCAAAATGAATCTAATCGGTAAGAATCGATTCATATCGATTGTTTTTCGACTATGACAATTAGTATTTTTTTAAATACGTATTCATTAAAATGACATTTATAAAACCTTTTTAATATTCCAATAACACTACCAAAAATATTTAAATAACTAAATGAAACCTTATTTCACACACACCTTATTATACACCTTATTTCGAGTCATCAAAAAATACAATCGATTTTTATATCGATTATTTTTATTTATCACCACATTATTAGCATGGCAACACTGAAAATATTGTCACAGCTGTTATCTGTCATTCGCTTTGTTTTGTATTTTTCATCGTGAGTGTTGTTTATTTCTCAAAACCAAGTCTTTGCCAAAATAAAAGCAGAAGTTTCCCTTTTGGTCCTCGATGCTTCCCTTCCTGGTGACCCTGGCATATGCTCTCGAACTACGAATCTCACTCAACCAATGACCAATGGCTCACTTTCGGACATCGAACCTTGCCTAAACGCCGACCACGGCTTACGTATGGACTCCGACCCGAGCCCCAATGTTAACCCCAGCCCGATTTTGGATAATGCAACCAGTAATTCCTCAATCTCATGAGGAACCTATGATATGTATCAATTGTATAGCTGACATGATGCAGAGGAGGCGACATAGCCTAGAGCTTATTAAGTTCAGTTGGTTATAATGTCAGTGGATGACTCCTCAGCTGGTAAGTTATTGAATGAGCGTGTGGACTTGTTGAATACCTTTTACAATGTATTTGATCAACTACCTTTACCGTAGATTACCATAATCCTAATAAAACTTTTTTTTTAGATTGATAACAGCAGTGTATGTTGTCACTCATGTTGGACCGTGGCCACGGTGTGGCTCTGCACCAATCAAGGACAAATAATATTTCAAATGAAGAAGCAACCACTAGCACTGGTCACAGTTAACGTGGATTATCTTTGTTACAAATACGTTCCATAGACTGCATATTAACACGGAAAGAGAATCACATATTCGAAAATAATGTAATAATGGAAAAGATTTCACCTCGTCAAGTAAGTTTTTTTATAATTATTTTCATTATATTTTATTAAAGACATTGGCTTGATATATTTGAACAAAGTGTATATTTCTTTCTATACAAATACTTCTTACTGATAGATAAAAATTGACATCACATCTCAATATCATAAAGAATTAATTTTGAATGATACCATAATTAATTTCTTTTTTTCAGCAGCGGGGATCTGATCAAATATGTCATCCCTGTTGGCAGTGAGCTGATCGAGCTGCTACACATGCTGTGGAGCCCCAACAAACACATGATGGGACGTGGATTCATTTGCCCTTATATTGGCCGAATAACAGTAGGTTGCTGTGCTCATGTTATGACAATTTTGTGGTTTTTGAGCTAGGCAAGGTATCAGGAACATGTATTTCCACCTGCCCAGTTCCTAGACAATATTTTATTGACCCATGAGTCAGATTAAAATAATAATAATTTAAAAAAAATGTGTTTTATTTTGCTTCTAACCTTTCTAGTCTTAAGCAAAAAAAATTTTTTTTAAGTACTTTGATACAAAATGATATTTATATTCTGTTTCTTACTGGTATAGACTATTTAATAAATAACAAATTACATGCTGCAATGTCTGTCCACCTCAGGCCAAAGGTCCCATACTAAGTGGGCATAACCCTTTCGCGGTTATTAGTTCACTCATCACGCCCACGCTATCGCCATTCACTCGTTCGTTCATTCAATCGTTCAGACGAGAGCGCGGGAAAATCACCGACGTCATATCGCATGTCACTTGACAGCCATTGACAGATTGACGAGTCACTTTTGCGAATGCGTTGAGGCAGAAATTTAATTTCGGGGTCGCGGTTGTTCGATTCGTATGAATGGCGTTTTATTGAATTACACCAGCGCATTGTTCAAGGAAGACTGTTATAACCGACGGCAGTTGCTCTAGTTCACTTGGATTTCATCCAATAAGTAAATATTTACTGTGGATTTAGTGAATCAGTTCTGCATCAGACTGCATATCTATAACGTGACAGACAAACAAGATTGTGTACGTAAAAGATTGTATTTTTCGGGTTTCGTTTATCTGTAAATAAATTACGGCGCGTATTTCTGCGGCGACAAAACCCAAATCAACTTAGAAAACGGCGGCAATGTAAGATCTAAAGCCATCTTTAATTCAGGGGCGCAGCAAATATTGATGTCTGCTCAAGCAGTCTGCGTTAAGTCAGCCTCCCGAGAGAGCACTTTCCCCTGACTTTGAGCATACATAAAGATCGTCGTCATGAACTTATAAAACGAGCATTGTTATTCAAAAGTGATTAAATATGAAACGAGCATAGAACCGTATTTATAAACAAGTACAGAGTTGTGCGGGTCACGCTGCGCGACTATGGCGTAATAAAAAAACCTATTAAAAATCAAAGCCCAACGGCACGCGACCGTTACCCCATGGATGCATCGCGTTGCACCAATTTTTTCAAATCGCCCCACCATGAGACGTTTTTGTGCAAATCTTGCATCTATTGTGAGAAGAAACCGAAGCTTGATTCTGCACACAAAGGTGATCGTGGAAAAAACCCAGCACCTGGCTGGAAGACGTTTGGGGCGCTGTTTCTGAAGGGACGTAAGGGCCGATGGATGGCGGTCGTAAATCAGTGGTGTCCCCCTATAAATAAGGGCTTAATCGGAAGCGCCCGCGCCGGAATCGGGGCCAAACAAAGCACAAGACACGGAGAAACGAGATCCCGACACCGGTGGGGCCGGGACGCTCTTTTTGCCGAATGCAGGTGATGCTACTGTAGAAAACGTCGAATTCAATTATCCGTCTATTGACTATTTGGAGCGTCTCCAATCCTGTTGCCATGCGGAGCTGAGGAACGTTATGTCCCGACATAAAAACTCCACTCTTACAAATTGATCGTAAATTATCGGAATAAGGTAGACGCGTTACCGACGAACCAACCCTATTAGTTAGTGCGAAATAATAAAACGTGTGTAAGTGGATTCACAAACGTTGGGCCGAGTTATTGTCAATTTTATATGCGGCATTACAAACTCGAATGCTATTTTCGTGTTATTAAGCCGCCGTATAGTGTCGTGTTGCTAACCGGTATGCCCCATTTGTAAGACATCCCGCATTAAATGGAATTTTTATATGCCGAAATAAAAAACTATCCGCTATTTATACAATGATCCATTTAAATGTTTGTGTTTTTGTGTAGTCTATTGTCTACGAGCGTGTGGTGCATTTAAGCAATTAGGCAGATTAGTATTCTGTGGCCTATCAGGTCACAGTGTTTGGTTTTGATAAATATAAACCAAATGCTTGCCAATGATTGTCTCCTAATCATTGTTATTGATGAATATGACATTTTCATGTGTCGCAACCAATTCTATCAATCAACTTAACCTTTAATTTAAACTAGGTAATAAGTCTATCGGACATTATTTCACGTCATTGTTTTACTTTGAATGCACAATGCACATTTCATTCAACTTTGTGCATCGCGGTAATAAGATGCACAGACAATATCGATTGCATATCGAATCGCAGCCCTTTATTTCCACTTCCTTTAATCGTTATCCATTTCTGGACAACATCCTGTGCTGTTAACCCCACACTGCTTTGTTTGTAAATATAAAAACATTTAATATGTTAAACGGTACGTGAGTCACACGCCCCGCTTTAGGGTTAAGACCGCGATCCACGGGAAGGTTAAGCGATTCAAATGCGACGAAAGGTAGACAAACAAAACCAATAAAAAACTAAATTCAATGTAAATTTCAAAAGTGGCTTTCTGGGTTCCAAATTATGCATAAACTTCCATAAAAGGGCGTAATGGCAACTGGAACTTGTAAGGAAAACATTTGAAGTTCGAAAAGATATCAGATTCTGCGGTTTTTTCGCGATATCCATGTTGACCACACTGCACTTTTAAGATTTTAGGTAGGTATCGCTTTTATTAAATAACTGTAATGTAAGTAAACACATATCACCAAACTATAGAAAAGAAACAGTATATTGGCGGCCAGCTTCTAAAGTATCATTGTCAATGCTCCAGATCAATGTTAATTAATAATAAATAATGAGTGTATACAGTTGTTCATTCGAGATAATATTATTAAGATTTAATTGCTACTTCAACATGACACCGCTGCCAATACCAACCGATTGGCGTAAGAAACGTTTAGAGACACCTGATTGTTATCGAAATATCGATACGATTGGAAGAAAAACGTTTAATTACTGAACGAAAAAGATAATTAAAAAGACTATAAAGTCAATAAATTGCCGACCTAATCGAAGAAGCGTTATTGATTACTATAAATCTACGTGTTTCAACCAATTTTACGCATTGATACAATCCAGTACTGATGCCTAAAGTGATGTGAAATCAGTTTGAAACAACAATTACTGTAGTGAGATTTAGCAATGTTCGCTATTTTTTCTCTAAGAAATCCTAAGAATAAGCAATCGCCAACTACGAGTTAATAAACCTAATAAATCCAAGCTGACTAACTCAATCTTGAAAATCTTATTAAAGTTGTCAGCCCATTAGACTTTCTTACGAGTAGTTTTAAACTTATGTAACCTTATTAGATTTTTATGCTGATAATGAAATGGAATCAATCTTATCAGATTTAATAAAATTAATAATACACGAAATATTTCTAATTAGAGACATTTTGCGGCCAAAACTATGTTGCGCCCTAATCTTATAAGAATCCATTTTCTATCCATCATTAGTCCTATAAGATTAAAAGAAAATTTGTTAAAAAAATAATAGGAATAAATAATAACACACTTATTAGAAAATTATCAACGTCTTATAAGACAGAATAAGGTTTTGTTCAATGAAAAATCACTATTAAGTGTTAGAAAGGAAATACTATCAGTTATGCTATAAAATTGCAAGCCTATGCACATTTCTGCTACAGTCTCGCTGAGTGTGGACAGCATGACCGCCAAACTACACAATAACCCTTACTTTATGGCCAAAGATGGAAACTGAACCCTTCTCGAAAACACATTTTAAATTCTCCACACGCAACAAACACTGGCTAAGATCTTGTATATCATATAACTTATTCCGACAACTCATGGCACACGACATGATTCCTAAGTAACACCATTAAAAATATCTCCACAGGAAGTGTAATGTGGATTAATTTGAATTTTATCGTGATAATTGGCCTGTTCGGAGCTATGAAGGCAGAATGGGAAAGTTGGAAATTGATGGTGCAATACAATAAGTAACTGAACTAGTAAAATATAGTGAAGGTTAATTTCGAACTTCTAAAAATCTCCTGATTCATTTCGTTGCGGGTCCAATGACAACATGTCATGTTTAACATTCTCCCAGGTCAAAGTGGCAAACTTGACTTCCATTGGTGGGGTTTTTATTAGAGGTCAAGCTGTTCTGGCTACATAGGAGTTGCAGCAGTGGAAACGAGAGGTGGGAATAGTCTCGATTAGGTACTAAAGAGGTGCAGTCTTCTGGCAAATTGGAGAAAGTGAGACTGAACATAAGAAAAAGTCTAATTGCAAAAAATAAATTACTAAATGACTGTTTAACATTTCAGATTAATAAATAGGTAAGTTAAACTTTTAAGTATTTCAACATTCGCAGACAATAGTAGTTACGCCCACAGCCGACTCGGCAAAGTGTCGCAAGCCAGCAGGAAATGCAAAAGATTTTGTTATTAATAACAGTTATAACAGAACCAAATATTTCTTATTAGATGTAATAGTAACTTATTGGCCTTTCTAAATAACATTCCTATAGGATCTTACATTTAAATATCATTAAAGACACTACCTACCTATGTTAACTTAAGTTTGTAAAAGGTTTTCTTTAGCAACAAAATTTAGTCAGATGTGCTAATGACTGTAAAAACTTACGTCTATAGTATCATCACAAGTATGGAAGTAAGTTACCGAAACTTACCTGTACTAAGTTTCGGTTCGGGAATAATAGTAGTAACCATCGCGTGTATAATACCACAAATAGGTACCCTATTTAATGCATTTTAGTTGATGAAATGGTGTTAAAAGTGTACTTCTATTACCCACATATAATGTAGTATCAAATTCACGTTTCATTACGTAATTCACATTCGAACATTTTCTTAATTATTACCTGTACACGAAAATAAATAATTATAATATACTAATTTTTGTGGGTAGTCTGAACCTACACTTTTATTTCTAGTTGTGTCTAGTTACTTGCAGTCAGATTAATCTATATCGCTGTCGTATTAACCCTACTGCCTAATAGCTGGTGTTACGAAACCTGTTTCCATAATTAATGAATAATTAATGAATGCCTAATGAGTTGCCTAAAGGTTGACTTCCGGTTCGTGTTCGACACCACGACTAAAGTAATTCGGCTTTGGTTATTAGAATTATTCGTTTAAGTAAATGAAATATTTTAAGTGGGTAGATACTTATCGCTATTATTTTAATTAATCAACTAGTACTACTTACGGAAAATTTGATACAGGTAGGTACCACCTATTCTCTTAAACCACTAAAATATAAAAAAAAAATATTATTATTTCATATTGTACAATCAGACGCCAAGTGAAAAACAAAGCGCTCCAAGGGAATATTGCACAATATTATGTCCGTACTGAAAATATTAGTTAACTCTAAATAAATTAAGTTCTTATTATATGGCTCCTCTCTCTCTAATCCCGTCGCTAGTTAATATTTTCTGATACATATCGGGTAGATTTTTGGGTAAGTAAATGATAAAAAAGTTCTAAAATCTGCGGACAAATACATTTCAAATATTATTTCCTACCACTAGCGACATCTCGGAGTACATTTATAAATAAAATAAGTGGACTTCCCGACGCTAGATGTCGCTGCACCGAAATAAAAAATGGATGCTATAACTAGCACTTACCAATGCCACCTAGCGGCGAGTAGCGGAACTAGCTCCTCACTTGCTAGCAACGATTCCAACGACGCCATCTAGCGAAGAACACTGCATCCAATGCGCACATTTTCAAAACACTATTTACCATGTAAAACTGTCGACATCACTTAACTTTTTTCACGTTTTTATTGTATTATCACTTATTGAGCCATAGTATTGCACATAATATTTATTATCAGTAACACAGATTTCACAAATGCACTTGTGAGATTGCATCATTGGCAAAATTATCTGAAACAAAACAAAATAAACATTAATTTATGGCACGTAGAAGAACATACTTTTTAGAGAAAAAGATCATAATTGTACATTATAATTATTACACATACATATTAAAATGGTCACAGCTGAGGATATCAATTAAAACGGATTATCGAATCTAGATCAAAAACTTTATTTCCAAAAAAATATCAACTAATTTATTAATTTACTAGCTAAAAGTATGCTTCATACTGAAAAAATACAAATACTTTCAAAAACAAGCATACTAATCTACCTACGGCATTCACTTGGCCTGCGCATTAAAACTATAGGCTACCAATAATTTGTGGTTTGCGCGCACAGATGTTGAACTAAATGATCCTATTAATAGTATCTTACAGTATCATTTAAATACACAAATTATTTATTGAAGTAGTTAAAAGTAGACACTTGTTATCAATAAAACAAGTTTAACCTTGTACTTGAATGTCAATAAAATGATTTATTTATCATATTTTAACAAAATAATGATTTGGGACTATTATTAGACTAAATGCTATGAGCAATTAGGATAAGAACAGTTCAATTTATTGAAGGATTAAAATTTTAGAACACCAAGTTTCCATGAGGTATTTGTGTGCTCAAAGTAATGGAAATATGACTTATGTTCAGACTTTTTTCGACTTTAACATTGTGAAAACACATGGCCACTTAATCCTTCTTCATTTAAAATCATAAAACTAACTTTTGCGTTAGTAATCTAAAAGTTATAGTCGAAATTAAAATCATACTTCGCATTTGAAAGGTTGTTCTAGAAGTAATAGTTTTCAAGACGATTTCTACACGTTTTAACACATAAATTCGTACTTTATTTAACCATACATACCACAGACACTTCATCCAATGAGGCACTAATCCAGGAGAACATCGAGAAAGAATCCATCGTGATAACCTGTCCTAATAAATAACCAACGTAACAAACTATTCCACTTCAATCCGATTCTTTTCACAGCACGTTTTTCGGCGAAATCACTTGTTTGCGACTTAAAACTGTTATTACGAACACTAGATGAGTTATTCTACTATTTGAATTACTTTAAAGCCTGATTCTATACTGAAACTAGGAGGTATTAGCCTGAAAATTGCAAGCACGTGCACATAGAAATGCACTTACATGCACTCTACAAATTTTACCTTCCGAAGGAATTGAAAGTACTAATCAGCACATTTCTCCTAGAAACAATGAAAGTAGATATAAACGTCGAATTTAATACACGAAATTTATAACCAATTCGAATTACAGCGGCTGAAAAAACTACACAAAGAAAACATATGATCGATCGAACTTTTGTGCACATGGACTAGTCTATGGTCCTCTCTAATGTCATCCGTAAAAACAGAGGTTATAGAGGTTATGTAGAGGGCGCTAAGTGCGTGTGTACTTTATAGTGTTTTTCTTCTGGATTAAAATGATTATAATAGCACAGCATGGAATTAAAATATTGTAATTAAAAATTACTTGCACAAAACCAATAAGGATAATATTTTACTAAAAAGCATTTTCGAAATAATTTGATTTGAGTGCTGCCGATAGGTACTAAAAAAGATAAAAGAAATAGGGGTCCGGCAAATCTTATTTTATAGCTACGAGTACTTATAGTCTAGATCTTATCTCGATTTAAATTTTAAAACCGAAAATGTTTGATTTGAATAAAAACAGACAGACTTACTCGAAATCTTGATTTTCTACGGTGGTGAGCAATCGTTATTTTCAGTTGACTTCAGTTATGTGGTCGACATCATAACAGCCTGGTAGGACAAAAATTGAGAATGGTAAAATTTAAAATTAGGAAATATGAAATTAACTTAGATTAAGATCTGCATTATAAAAGTAGTCTCACCGGCTCGGTCTCCACCCACAAACTTTCGAACTCTTTCTCAAACTTGCTTACAATATTTGGATGTGAAGTGACGATTACACTCTCGTGATTCGATACCATTGCTTGAGTGGACCAGTTTAGGGAGCCGGACATCACGAAAGCTTTTACTTGTTTGTTCTTTGGTTGTTGCTTCGAAATGTTCTTATTAAATTTCGCGTGCACATTTAATTTTTCAGCATGTGCTTTTAATAAACTTTTGCGCTTCATCGCTTTGGGCCCATCGATGATGCAGAATTTGTGATGCATCAAAATTGACTTTTTATTCGTTTGTACTTGAATAAAACCTGAAAAGAAACACTTATGAATATTCATCTAAAACTTAAAACATGAGCAAATGTTTAAAATTCTTTACTTACTATATTCTTTGAGCTTGTTAATTTGTGACTGAGGTGTAAAAGCCATGTCGCTGTCTACCATTATTCGCACTAAAACGTGTTTTTGTCCCAGCCTGATTATATGTTCTGCTATTTCACTGCTAGTAATTAAGTACATGCACACATCTAATGTTTCACGTGCTGATTTGATGTACTTAATTAGCTTGAAACAATTCAGCTCTCTGCTTTCACAGATAGTTAGGTCCTTATTAGGTGGAACTTTTATTGTGTGACGAACAACATCATCTGAGAATAGTATGACGTCGTTTATTTCACGGTTTTTGATTGCTAAAACTTCGTTGCACGTATCTTCAGTGACGACTTCTGACTGCGAACACTTCTGCTTTGATCTGAAGAAATATTTATACAACTTCTTTGCCACTTGAGAAGCAACTACGGCAGTGGCTGTAGACGCCAGCAAAAACTTTGCGCTTTTCCAGTCCATGATTACGGTAAAAATATTTCAGTCAAGTTATATTTAGCCACAAATTAACAAATATTGTATTGGTTATCTTATATCCACCATGTTGTCCACGCATCTGCAAAAGCCAAAAAATCTCTAGAACCTCTCATCTAAAATTATTAAACTACCCTCAAATGGTTTTTGTTAATTTTTCTTTATTGTCTTTGAATTCTTTGTTGGAATATTTTTATTAATTTTCTTCTATATTTTAATTAGGAAATAACAGATAATATATAAATTATATAATAATAGCTAAATTAACAAATAAAAATAACATTTTTTTTTTATTGCAGAATTGCGTGTTATATTTCATGTTTACCTTACCATAGACAATTTTACATGACATCATTCGTTCATTTTGTGCAATCTTGAATTCATTCATCATTCATTCATTCGCAAACAAACAAACAAAAGTAATCGTTACAAGAAAATCTAAAAATAATTGTTAATTTTCCAAATAATAATTTAATCTTTGTGGTGGTCTCGTGTCACAATAGCTTATTGTAAAATTTGAGACGGAGTTTTGTGTTTGTGAATATGTTGGTATTTGATTGGGTATTTGCCTAATTCCAGCATTATAAAAATGCCTAAAATACCGTATCGAGCTGAGAAATCGCGGGAGGAAGACGAAGATTATGAAATCGTTTCGTTCGAGGATTTCTGCGATAAATCGCCGGGGTCTAAAACGGATTTGTTGACCTTAAATGATAATATAAACTACCGCCTCTGTTATGAGAGTGATAAGTCGCCTAATAACGCGGCTAAGTACGGCGAGTCTTCGAGCAAGGATGGCGAGATTCACACGGAGACGTCCCTGAATGGTTCTAAGAATGTTACTTTCAAAAGGAAGATGTCGAATAGCTTTGCGCCCTTTGGGAGGTATAACGCGAAGTCTGGAAGGGCGCCTCTGTTTAGTGGGGTCATACCCAAGGCTAGGAATGAAGGCGAGGGTTCCCGGGAGCATAGGTGAGCTGATTATAACTTATTCTATTACTTTGCACTTCCTAACTCGGTTTTGTTACTGGATTCAAACATACATATCCATCGGTTTATTTTTCTGAATGTTAGCTGCTGTAGAAATAAATACTTCACCACTAAGTGCCTGCACATAATTTGATTCCACTTTATCCAACATCAAGTTAATGACAGTATCACTAGACTATTAATTAATAACTTTGTTGTTGCATAAATCTTTAATGTCTAGGATACTTGACTACATATTGTTATCAGTGACCGTTACTCGCTGCAGCAATAAATCAAAAGTATTTATAACCAGATTCTTTACTAGTCGCACATTACAAGTACTTGTTATCTAAAATATTCTGTCCACTATAAATACCAGATACAATTATATCATATTGCATTGCGCTCAGTATCTCTTGTGTTTATTACACTAAAACAAGATTCTTATATATTATGTCATAAGAATTTTGTATAAAATTTACGGATCATCTTGTAAAAGGTATCTGAAAAATATATTTACTCACATTTGCCAAACGTCTTATTTTATTTGTTAATAATTGCCTACTTATGCCTACATTAAATTGTACCTTTGTCATGTTTTAACTGTACTCAGTATTTTTATATCAAACATTTATTGGTGTTTACAAAGTGTTGTGACGCTGGAAGGGTTAATCAATTTTCTGATTCATTCTACTTTATTTAGTATTGACTTCAAAGTCCAACAAACAGTGTGTTTAAATAATAAATCATTATATTATTATGTCCATTTACCATTTAGATTTCTACTTACAAACATTGTTAAAAGTTATTTGAAGAATATTGTTGTTATGTCTTTACATAGAAAGTAATCTTTTATTGCATTAATCAATTAAAATCAAATGTTTCCTAAACATGGTGGTGGTTTATGAGTTTGTAAAGACTCAACATTACTGTGTATTTTTGTAACTTCATTCTTTATTATTTTCTAGTTTGGTTGGCTTTCGAACAGTCAGCGTCAAATATTTCGTCACACCTAAAGTGGCCAATAAGTTTTCTACACATCCTTGTCAGGTTGTGTTGTGAACTTTTTGGCCACTTAAGGTGTCACAAACTAAATGACGCTGACTGTATCTTGGTATAACTGAAACAGATGTTCAGATCCACCCTCATCATCATCTCAGCCATAGGACGTCCACTGCTGAACATAGGCCTCCCCCAACGCTTTTCATGTTGCCCGGTTGGTAGCGGCCTGCGTCCAGCGCCTTCTTTCTACCACCTTACCATAACATTATTCAGATGTTATTCCCAATAAAACATGTCCTTAAACCATTACAAGCATTTATTTTTATTACAGATACCAACGCTTCTCCGAACAACGCAACTGGATCCACCGCGCTTGGGAACAGGTGTCCACCGCTGGGCCGGGAATGCTGGGCGTGGCGCTTGTGTGCGCGCTGTGCGTGGGCGCTTGGTGGGCGGCAAGCGGCGCCCTGGGAGGCGCCTGGGGCGAAGAGCACTACAGGTAACTACCGTATCTGCAGGTTACTTTAGCTCTATCCAAAGTTGCCCTGTAAAACATTGGTTCTACAGGGCATCAGGTCCCCAAAGTGGCGAGTGCAAAGACCTTTAAAGGGGCGCGCGGGCCATCTGTGTCCAAAAAACCTGCAACCTCTGAGAGAACGCATTCCAGACTGCTCGATGTACCAATAAATATTCGTCCGTACATTCCGATCGTTATTGCACCCAACAGTAAATTGCGTAAACCATACTAGTACAAAATCGAGTATTTTTTCAAGCACAAAAAGAAGGAAAGAACTGATAGAATTTGTGATACTAAAAACAGTATCAAATTCAAAACAATCAACATGTTTTTCTCAGCGCTCAGATTAAGTGTCAAATGCTTTATTAACGTGACGTAACAATACATATTATACATATAACATAACACATTGTTATTCTGTAACCTGTGGTTTGTGGCTTTGGCATACATCTTCATTTTCTTGGATATCATCATTTTATGCCTTTCAATGAAAAACATTGTAGTAAACTCGAAGTCCAAATTGAGTTGCTTTGTTTATCATTAAAAAGTATGACCATGCTATTTTTGTGATTCAATTCCCCAGTAAACAGACAATATACAGATGACAGCACATCAAGGTAAAACTAGATTCTTATGCAGTTGCATTAAGTGTGATATTGCAACAAAAATGTGTAATCTGATGTGCTGTTGACTGTACTAATGTGACGCATACTCTTCATGCAACATTGATATGACATTTACAAAGTTTTATTTGTTGAATAACCTTGAATGTGTATTCGTTTTTAGGAAGCTATGGGAGAGAGCTCACCCTGACAACACCAAGAAACCACCTACACCAATCACGTACGAAAAGGTAAATAACTGTAGTATCAAGCAAAAGTTATTTACAAATGAAGTATTTTAAAGATTGCTGATAGAAGTAATGCTTAAAACTTGTATGACATGGAAAAATAATTAGGGTGGTGCATCAAGCTATAAACTGTTTGGTAAATAGAATCGCACTAGCGATTAATTTCATACTGCCTTTGTTGTACTACAGACTAATTTACAGAATGTTTATAAATTAATCAAATTACTTATCTGATTAACTACTTTACACAATAAAATTATTTCCAATTTATACCATCCTATCCAAGTTAATCAGATACCATCATCTACAATCAGTGGGTCTAGACAAAGTGCAAATTATAATCGCAAACCAGTCGAAAAGTGGTCGAAAAGCCCCTTTTTTGTATGGAGTTTTGACGGATTCGATTTTCGATTCGATCAAAAAGTGCGTTTTGTCTAGGGGGGCAGAGCGTCAACTAGTTTGTGAATCGTGACATAAGTAGCCAAAAAGTTCGCAACACGTCTTTGTTTCAATAAGTTTGAGTTGTCAATTTTTGGCCACTATGTGTCACAACCTCAGAATACGGAACAAACCAGAAACCGTCAACGGGCGTAAATGTGTATTCATATAAATTACTCCAAAACGCACTACTTTGACTTTAGAGCAATTAGTCAATGGCCGGCGCGCGCATTGTTTACATATCCGTCAGATTGACACTTTAAAATTAAATTATGCCGTCTTGTGCCGTTCCAACATGTAGGAATGCTACTGGAATTACGCAGAAAGTGCATGGGAACATGTTTTATCCGTAAGTGAGTCGTCTNATTTTGCCCTAATAGCCGGACATGGGGGGGGGGGGGGGGCAATCAGGGTCAAACCAAATCAAAAGCCGGCAATATTTGGCCGGACAAGACCCTAAAAAGCCAAACATGTCCGGCTAAAGCCGGACGCCTGGCAACCCTAGTTGGACCGCCACATTCAAAGATGCTAAGAGTTTACGCGAGGAAGCAGTGAGATGAAATTCGGTTGGGTTTTAAAATAATTGCGTTATTTTATGATATTGCACGCCACACAAAATTTTACAACCACAAGAAAAATAAAAGATGGAAAAACAGTGAAGGCTAGTGTATTTATTTATGGTGCCTAGTGTTCATAGATAATCAATTCATCATCATCATCACCATCATAATTTCAGCCATAGGACGTCCACTGCTGAACATAGGCCTCCCCCAATGACTTCTACATCGCACGGTTGATAGCGGCCTGCATCCAGCGCCTTCCTGCTACCTTTATCAGGTCGTCGGTCCACCTTGTGAGTGGACGTCCCACGCTGCGTTTTCCGGTACGTGGCCTCCACTCCAGAACCTTGCTGCCCCATCGGCCGTCAGTTCTGCGTACTATGTGCCCTGCCCATTGCCACTTCAGCTTGCTAATCCGTCGGATTCAATTCAATATTCGCTTAATCAGAGATAAACTCTATGATGATTGAGACTATTACAGCTGTCATGGCTATTCTCAAACTTTTAAAAAAGACCTTCATACCGTGACTATCTTGCTCGATCCGATATGCCTTTGAAACCCAAAAATCTGTGACATGCGCATCCAAAATCAAGTTTATTGTGTGCAATTTGAATAAATTTTTCACTACTTATCTGGTTTAGATCGAGTTTCGGCATGATAGTACCACATTTATCTTTTTCCCGCCAACTTTCAAGCATATTCTTCGTTTTTTGAAACCAGTCTCAACAGTCCGGCCCTTTGAGAATTACACTGCTCACTGCTGGCTCTACCACAGATTATTTATTTCCACTTGTTTTGCGAATGTCCCGTGCAATTGTACGTACAAATTGCTTGAGCTGGCCAGTTTACATTTTGCATTTTACTTTTCTGTTTAATTTAAAAAAGCACTGTTGCGATCCTCTTTGTGCATTCATTCATCATTGGGATTTCTTTCTCATTATTGTATTGTTTTAGCGGACACTATTCTTTGGGACTGGAAATAACTGAATTAATTATTACCTAGGCCTACTTTCTTTCTAAAATGTTGCAATAAAATATGCTCTATTGATTACGCTTTTGTTTTTATATCCTATTTTCAAATTACCAACACTCGTGATTAAAAACAGTTAAGCTTCAGCTTTACCTAAGTAAAAGTTTTTCTCTGGACAGAAATAGAAATTAAGTTAAAAATACTAATCTATGAAATCGTAGGCGTCATCTCAAAATGTTTTAAACCTGAAATTCTTAAAACAACCATTTTGTTAGGTAGTTTTCAGTGTCTTGTAATCTGTAAATACATAGGTACCTACTCTCAATATATTTTAAACACCTCAGAATAAAACTAACAATCGTCTCAAGCATATGTACACACCTAAGCTACTCGTATGTTGTAAATAAGCTCTCAGCTCATAGATAAAATAAAACAAAGCAAAATAAGAGATTAAAGTAGCGGGTCAACTCTAGCTAGGAGGAGGAAAACAAACAATCACGGGATTGCTTCTGCAACTTTAAATCAGAAAACTATTGTCTTGTAAAATAGTGCGTCGATCAGTGATGTTTTAGGATAGTTTTCATAAGGATATCGATAAAAGTTTTGAAAGTTAATTAAAAGTTTTTAAAATCAACTTTCTTTCTAAAATAAAGAAACAAATAAATAAAACTTTTGTGACATTACTACGCCAAATGAACTTAATGTAAAAAATATGATAGATTCTACATCTTCATCCAATTTCAGTATTTTAAAGAATGTCATTCAAACATAAATCTACTTTACTACGCCAGCTTGTTCCAAACAAACTAAACAATTTCACTAAAAGAATTGCTCTCAAATATAAAAGTTAAAGAAAAACGCAATAAAGAAGTGGAAACAAACTTGGCTGAACTTGGCAATTCGACAATTGCATTACATTCGGTGCATCCGACGAATACTTGGCAAAGACAAAGAGTGCTGGAGGGCAGACTTGTGAGTGGGTCAGCGCGGTTGCAGAAAGAATTTGAAATTTAAATAAAATAAAGTAACTCGCTTTGAAAAATTTTAAAAGTTTCCTTATAATCTAAATAAAATGACGCATAGTTTAAAAATAAAACAAATGACGCATGGTTTTAAAATGTTCAGTTCATTTTTTAAGGCTTTAAAAATGACGCATGCATGCCCCATGCGACCTCTGTCAACATAAAAAAAATCCAAGTTACTTATCACAGTAATAGCAATTCCCACGTAAGTATTATAAATTCCTTTGTAATGAACAGAAAGAAATACTAGAGGCAATTTATTATTCTTGCGATGTAATTTCAAAAGTAATTTTTCCACTACAATTAAAGTTTTTGAACTAATTTGTCAGCGTCGTGATCACTTATGCAGGAATACCTAGATTTAACATCTCTGTAACTTTACACTTCAGGCTTGCCTCTTTGTAACTTGCTAACTTGTTCAAAGTAGTTTATTAAAATGAACTCAGGCCCGTCCGGGCTGTCCGAGCCTGTCCGGGAATGTCCGGAACCTGCCCCGTGCCGTCCGGATTGCGGTTCACATCGGTAAACGTAGTTACGTCCTCTCAACTGAGTTATAGTGCTGGGAATTTTATGAAACTTTCATCGATAATATTGGATGTAAAAAAAAATATTTCGTAATAAATTTTGATTAATAGTTTTGTTTACCCGTTTATTTTATTAATCAGAATCAAAGACTGAAGGGTCGTTAATTTTACTTAACTGTCCTAATGACCATTTATCATTATTTTGTTCCATGTTGTTTGGCCATCAGGCTTAAAACTGTGGCACCATATGCAGTTGTATTAAGAACGATTCTGCAAAAAATGGAAGGTCTGGCCTGCTGTAAATAAGTAAATACAAACATGCTATCATTATTGTAATATATCATTATTTATCAATGTTGACAATCTTACTCACGATATGAAAGGTTAACGATTCATTCTTTATTACCATATAAAATACTGTTTACAAAATTAAGGCTTCAATTTGTTGCTCTTGAATCTATTGCGCAAAGAGTATCGAATGAACTCCCGTCTAAGATATTGTACTTGTATCGCTAGTACTCCTAAAAAGCTGGAATTTATCCGATTTAAGTGCAGTATTAATTGCTGCAATTTTCTTCTCCATCTTAAGAACCATGGAGCACTTGTTTGTTTTTATTTTCTAGGAAAAAAAACAATCTAAGTCGAGATAAGTTTTATCGACATCGATATTTTTCAATATTGTCTATTCTAATAATAATAATAAATTCTTTATTGAATAACTTATTTGACAGTTTAAACTTTAGGCTAATCTTATGCTACAAAAGGTAAAATTATACATGTGCCTGAACTAGGAATTCTAATCGTTATTCTATGCTTGATAGTGTATCACTACACTATTCACCATACTGTGGTATCCCGATTGTGTTACAAAATGTGAGGTCTTAAGTAATAGGTACTTAATATTAACTTTGTTCCTTGTTCCGCTAGCAATAGGATCTCTGTCTAACTGCAAAGTCTATTCATAAATTAGTTCTGTTTCTGTATACCGCAGCTGCACTAAAGCTTTAAAATAACGCCAGCCACCAATGCCTTGTACTATTAATGGCTGCATTTTTCTCCCGACGAAGAATGACGGATAAGTTGTTAGTTAATCTGTTAGTAGTTAGTTGTGCTCAGCTTCAAGGGGTTTGAGTTAATTTTTAAATAACGCTTCTCTTTACTAGTGACTAATTACTAGACAAAGACAATCTCATTATGAAACCTTAGCGAAGACGAATAGGTATAAAGTCGTCATTTAATAATTTTACGGTACTTATTAATACCTGCTAATTTTGGAATTTCTAAATAAGTAATGACAAAAACTTCAAATAATCTCCTACTGTTCTTTGATTTATCTGAATATTGATGACATTCAACCATTTATAGCCTCGATCTACTTATTTTTTAAATTGAATAGAGCCTTTTTTTCATTCTTCTTTCTTTTCGATATATCGATATCGATAGACAAAACATTGTCCGACATCACTATCATAGACGGGCCACCCAATGGTTTCAATCACAAAATTCAATAGAGTTTCAATAAAAGTGATGTTTGAATTTATCCATTTTGATTTGTTTTGCGTTTGTGAAGGATTAATTAACGCGTAGTTTTTGGAAATTGGAATGCAACGTCGATTTGAAATTGATTTCAGCTGTTTTATTGGGGGTTTCCTATCTTTTAGAAGAAAATTCAGTAGTTAATACAACTTTTAGTTAAGTAACTAACCCCAAAAATACGTTAGGCCCGGTTTCCACCAAGGCGGAGCGGAGCGGAGACGTGTTTTGAATAACCAATCAATCTCTTCTCATCTCTACTCATCATAATCATATCAGCCTTGGTGGAGGTGGAAACCGGGCCTTATAATGTTTCATCACAAGCATCTCACCTCACCTCTTTCGACTTTCAGGCATCAAGCCATTTATTATTTAAAAAAAAATTACTTTGTCAAAAGTGACAAGAACTATTGTCACACTTGTCAGAGGACATTTATTGTAAACACCACAATATGCCTGAGAAAATTCAATTATTGTTGCAATTCGTGACATTGCGATTGATAATGGTATGTGGAAATTTACCGGGTTAGTGCCGCTCGTTTTTAGGATACTATTTTTAAAGCTTTTTCAGTAGAAAATGTCTACTTATTACCATTTTACTCATCGATATTTTTCTTTGTTCCAGTGTTTCCCAATGTGCCGGCCGCGCCTGGGATGCCATGCGCTGGAGAGGATAGTAAGTACACTTTTAACTATTTTATTAGGGTATTCTACCCTCAACTCAAAAGGCATATAGAAATCCTAAGGGCCTTGCCACACTGGATTCAAACGGATTGCAAACGGAGCGGCGCGGCGCGGCGGGTACCGCAATCCGCCAGTATGGCAAGGCCCTTAGGGAGCATTCAAGTATTACGTAACGCAATTTTTGAAGATTTTAGACTCCCCCCCCCCCCTTGTAACGCACCGTAACGTTTTTCTGTANTGTTATAGTTTTTGTCCTTGGTATAGTTTTAATTGCTTTTGCGGTAATCATACTAAATAAAACAAGAGATTTTTAATCCGCAACACCTGCGTAGGTATTTTGTTTATTTTTCTATAAATATTTGGCTTTACACACACTCAATTGTTTTTCTCTGTCATTCCTATCCTATTTTAGCTTTTTTTACAATTAAACTCTTAAAATACATAACATGTTTATTTTAACCTTTGGGAATGCAATTATAAACAGAAACCCAACTGAAATTAAACATTTTACTCGAAATAAATTCGTATTCTTAACAAAATTAAAAAAATAATTAATTATTAACCAAGTATCTAAGTAGGTCTATAAAAACAATTCGATTGAAATTAACGCTCCTCTGTCAACGGGTTTGCTAGCCACTCAGATTCTTTCATCACTGGCACCCGGAGTGCAGACGAAGACGGTTCTGCAATTGTCAAGCCACTTGCATCAAATTTGTCTTCGTCGACCCAAGCAAATGAAAAATGACGACCAGACTATATACAAACGAAGGATTCCCCGTAAAACGTAAACGAAAAGGGTTGCCAATTTGGGAGTTTTAATTCCCTAAATATTTATTTAAAAAAAGAAACAATGTTACGTAACGTCTTGTAAGTAAGTCCCCCTCCCGCCCCTGTAACGCATCGTAACGTTTTACGAGACCCCCCCTCCCCCTCAAATTGCGTTTCGTAATACTTGAATGCTCCCTTATGGGATCACCACCCTGATGTCCACCTGTGTCTGGCTTTCAAAACTCTAAGGGGAATCAAACCCCAAAGAGTATACGTTCTTCTTTTTGACCTAGTAATAAAATGTGATAAGCAAGATCTTACAAGAAAATGACTAAAGAGAAAAATCAGGAGGAAATACGGGACTACTCCCACCTCTCGTTCCCACCGCTGCAACTCCTGTGTAGCCAGGATCTACAGCTTGACTCATAGAAAGACCGTCGCTTCTCGGCCTTTTGGCTAAGATCAAAGTGTAGTAAATCAGGAAATAGTTTATTTATAATATTTGGAGACCGTAACGCACTCCGTTCAGATTTCAAAATCCAGCCAGTCCCTCTCAAACTTAAACATCTTCAAATAATGAAAAGTATTTATTTTCTTCAATCGGAACTTCGTATCAGTGGTCAACGCCCACTTCTCGGTAATCCGAATCGGCCGAATCGATAAGATAACATCGATAAGTCACAGTTCACATCCTTTCGAGCCGGGGCGTCGACGCGGGCCATGCCGGACCAAGTAGATGTCTTGCTCCATCCAGATAGCGAAGTATTTGACAGGTGATCCGTACTTTTCTGACAGAAAAAACTTTTTTCTGCAACTTTTTTTTTAAATAAGAATTTAATGTATACCTGTTTATCGTATCAGAAACTCCTTTATTGCCTGTCAAATATTTGTTTTTATTTCCAATGAAATATTTATCGAATGTATTGTTATTTAGATATTCGAATTGGGTATTTACTTACTTAGTGGTAATTGTTTTTGTTTCTGAAGTCCGATAAGAAGAGTACCTACTAACTTATAAAAATACATTGTAAAAATGAGTTGGTTCGGCTTTATAAACGTAATTTTAGTTTTGATTCACGTTATCAACGTTCATGTAAACTCCCTTTGAGTCATCGTAAAGCACAAATCAATCATCTAAAATGCGATGAGCAAATAGATAGACACCTCTACCTACAAGATTAGACATCTTTATCGCCACGAAGCGATCTCTTCCAAACAACACAGGGCAGAAGCCACCAGAGCAAAGCAAAATATCAGTACCTTTGTTGACGTTTCATCGACTCGACATGCCGGCTCGGCAATATTTAACGCAACGCCTACGTGTGCCATCGTGGCTTATACCCCTCGCAAACATAAACACAATTCGATCAGAGGGCTTGCCAATCGAACGAATAACAAATATTTGCGGGTAATATTTTGAAATCGCCTGAAATGGACGAAAAGCGAGTTAAACAGTTATTTTCGCACGATATAACATTTCCGCACATCTATATATATAAAAATGAAACCCGTTTCGCGTTGTCACGGCATCACGTGTGAACGGCTGAACCGATTTCGATAATTCTTTTTTTTAAATGTTTGTGGAAGTCCAAGGATGGTTCTTACGGAAAAAAATATTAAGAAAATCTCTACGCTAAGGTGGTACGAAGTTCGCCGGGTCAGCTAGTTTTACATAAATATTAAATTCGTCTGTATGTTTTTTGTACGTATTTTACCGCAAAACTCCGTAACATTTTTAACAACTTTTTACCCGACTGCGCACTAAGGAGGGTTATGTTTTTCCAAACGTTTGCGCAGTTTCAAGTATTTATGACACTGGATGCGATCTGCGGTCAGCTCAATCAAATACAGGCCACTTAATGTATGATTACTTTGGCCTGACCGCAGACCGCATCCAGTTTGGCGAATCCTTAAGAAGAGAACATGATAGTGTTGTTATGTAACAAATGCACTATGTAATCGTAGATTTAGGCTTACTGTTATTGTTTTGTGTTCCAGGGAGCATATACAGAAGAGGAGCGAGGCGGTGGCGGAAGCTCTACCGAGTCAATGGACACATCTTCCAAGCGAAAAGGTTTAATAGAGTAAGTTCTTGATTGTTATACTCACTTATATCAGTCAGTCAATCGTATCCACTGATCACGCAAGACAATAGATGATTCTATAAAATAAGTAAGCTCATGTAGTCACCAAAAGACAGATACTACATGTATTTGGCATTACTGTACAAGACATCACTGAGTTATACTTTCACGAAAATCCCCAGCTTTCAAACATGCCTTTGTTGAACTAACTGCTAATAATTTTGAGATTTCTGTGATACTTGTCTTTTTAAAATTGCGTTTCCTATATTCCATAATCATAAGCGTACTGAAAAAAAAATTGGTAGGCAAATTGGTCTACAATTTATTTCTAAGGATCACGCTCTACCAAAATCAAATAAAAAATATCGTTTGTTTGGACTATTTAAATGAGTACCTGCAAATTGTCAAACCTATCCTGTAGAGACAGAAGCTATTTGTCTCCTATCTTTTTTTACACGACTGTGGCAGGAGGATTATGTTTTTAAATGACTTACATCACATCATATCCTAATCAAACTCTCTATTACCTTCCAGCGCGCCTTCTGTGCCTTCTGCCAGGATCGGATATGGGGCCTCGGGCGGCAAGGCTTCAAGTGCATCCAGTGCAAGCTGCTGGTGCACAAGAAGTGCCACAAGCTGGTCCAGAAGCCGTGCTCCAACGAGCACGTGGACCCGGTCGAGGTTAAGGATGACGCTAACGGGGAAAGCACGCTCGGACGGGCCTCTTCTGTCAGGTAACACTTGCTTTACCACTCCATAATAACTAGAATATAAACAAAGATGTGACAAACACCAAAATTCACTGGCTGGAACTGTTGAGTGTTGACAAACAGAGACACAAAACGCTCAAAAGATGGAAAATTCTTGCGCTTGACGAAAGAATCTGAATCGAGCTTCCGTCAATCATCATCATCATCATCTCAGTCATAGGATGCTCCACTGCTGAACATAGGCCTCCCCCAATGCTCTCCATGTTGCCCGGTTGGTAGCGGCCTGCGTCCAGCACCTTCCTGCTACCTTTATGAAGTCGTCGGTCCATCTTGTGGGAGGACGTCCTACGCTGCGTTTTCCGATATGCGGCCTCCATTCCAGAACCTTGCATTCCTGAACCATCAATATTCAACTAACTCCAGCTGTCGTAATATTCCAGGTCGAGGGCAGAGCCCGAGCCTCCGCTGCCGGAGACGCCGCCGGCGCCGGCGCCCGCCAGCCTGCTGCCCCGCGAGGACCTGGAGCCGGGCTCGCAGCGCCAGTACTCGCTCGAGGACTTCGAGCTGATCCGGGTCATCGGCCGCGGGTCATACGCCAAGGTATGGACCTGATAGACCGGAACCGTATAACCAAGCGCTCGCCTTAACGATGATGTCATGTGTCTGATATTTCGCGATAGTCTTCGCTACAGCGCTCGTCTAATATCGAACTCCTCCTAATTTTGTCTGATTAATTTCGTTGCTGATTCTAAGAACTTAACTTTTGGTAAGATTTCATTGGCGAACAAACTGTTAATCCCAGGCTTTACAGAAGTTGCAGTGATGCGAACGAGAGGTGGAAAATCCCAAAACTACAATTTCCATACAACTTATTTCCAAACAGATTCATAATGTTTTTCATTTCTTACGTCCCCAGGTGCTGATGGTGGAGCTGAAGCGAACAAAACGCGTGTACGCCATGAAAGTCATCAAGAAGGCCCTGGTGACGGACGACGAGGACATCGACTGGGTGCAGACGGAGAAGCACGTGTTCGAGACCGCCTCCAACCACCCCTTCCTGGTGGGGCTGCACTCCTGCTTCCAGACGCCCAGCCGGCTGTTCTTCGTCATCGAGTTCGTGAGGGGCGGGGATCTCATGTGAGTCGAAGTCTCCTTTATCTTCCCCATTATCATCACCAGGTCATTTAGTCCACTGCAGAATGACACTCTCTAAGGGAGGATTTGGCCTACCCACCCCACATTGGCGAGACCAGTTGTCGAGGAATCGTGTTCGCATATTTCTTCCCTAAGGCCCGGTTTTTTGATTCGTAGTTAAAATAACCAATATAGCTGACCCACGCTGAACTGTCCCACCAAACTCAATGACAGGGGGGCGCTACCATCGCTCAACTATATGGTTTCCAACATGGCAAAAATCTGAACCAGCGATCCGGTATTGACGGTGGCGCCCCACTGTCAATGTCATCGACAGGACAGTCCAGTATTTTGGAACTATAGTCAAATTTGACAGATGTCAAATGACAAGTGGTTAAATATCAGAAAAAAATGTTTTTCGAACAATGGTTAGCTTGACTTTTAGTACATTTTATAACTATCAGTTAACATTTTGTTAATATTTAACCATTAGTAGCAAAATTTAACAATTTGTTATTTTAACCATGAATCAAAAAACTGGGCCTTAGTCTCCTAAGATGTTTTTTTATGGTATGTCATTGTTAGTCTCATCTTACGACATCAACGGGAAGAGTCCAGACGGAACCACATAGCTCCGTTTTACTTATATCTTCATGTCAGCCAATGGTAGGTCACTGCTCGACGTGAGTCTCCCTTAAGGAACACCACAAACCAGGATCTCCCGTTTTTTTTCATCCAGCTGCTGAAAGCTTCTTAAGTAGGTCCATCGAACTGGTAACTATCCTTCTCTACGTGTGCCAAGACGTGGTCTCCATTCGAGAACCCGTTTGCTCCACCTACCTTCGGTTCTCAACGCGGCCCTGGTGAAGGACGAGGACATCGACTGGGTGCAGACGGAGAAGCACGTGTTCGAGACCGCCTCCAACCACCCCTTCCTGGTGGGGCTGCACTCCTGCTTCCAGACGCCCAGCCGGCTGTTCTTCGTCATCGAGTTCGTCAGGGGCGGGGATCTCATGTGAGTTGAAGTCTCAAGAAGAAATCTTCATCCTTCGTTCGTTTCAGCCTGAAATGACGTCCACTGCTGAACAAAGGCCTCACCCAAGGTTGTCCACAATGAACGGTCCTGCGCTGACCGCATCCAGGCTCTTCCCGCGACCTTCACCAGATCGTCGGTCCACCTAGTAGGAGGCCTGCCCATTAGCCATTAGTCTCCAATGCAGGAGAACGTTCCTCTCCTTTACTAGAGGCAAGAAAGATTTGACCTACATTCCCCACGCTGACCAGATGGGTTGACGAGCTTGATATTCGCATATGTTTCCCTTAGTCGCGTCTATTGACATCCACGATAAGAATGAGGGTGGCTCTACTATTAGTCTGATATTCAACGTAGGTATTCCCCAAGGAACGTCACAAAGCAGGCTCTCCCACTATCACGCCACGTCTACCAAGAACATAGTCTCAATTCGAGAACCCGTTTGCTAGACTTTCTTCATTTCTCTGACATTATTATGACCAATCTTGTTCTGTTTCTTATTTAACAACGCGTAAAACTTGTCCCAAATAACAAACCAACCGTAAAACAACCAATTACGGTTGGTAAACCCCAGGTTAGCAAGCATAAAACATATCCATTTTAACACAAACTTATTCCCTCAGGTTCCACATGCAACGCCAGCGACGTTTACCAGAGGAGCACGCGCGGTTCTACGCGGCTGAGATATCCCTGGCGCTGCACTTCTTGCACGAGCGCGGCGTCATCTACCGCGACCTCAAGCTCGACAACGTGTTGCTGGATCACGAGGGGCACATCAAGCTCACCGACTACGGCATGTGCAAGGTATTTGACTTGATCTTGAACACAAATCGAGATTACAGATGAAAAGATGAGTTTTCTCGTGTCCCCGCTTCACTCCGTCCTGCTAAGTGTGACCTACATATTTTGTACAAAAAGCTATAAAGTTTTTCTCCGCTTCACGCCCTAAACGGTGACTTAAAAGCCCATCCCTTTATGGGGTAGTCGACGGGAATAGCTCGAACCAAGTAGTCAATTCCGTCTGAAGAGATTTCCATTGAAACTCGGCGAAGACGATACGGTTAAATAAACGTCCCGTTTCCTTACGTCACGTCTCGATTTTGGTAGAAATCGGGCCTGACACAGAACTTTTTTCAACTGAATATTCATGTTTACCTTCGCCTCGTCTCCAGGATCCGGTGACATGACGCGGTCACAATCCGAACTACATCGCTTTCGTATCGGAGTATCAATTTGATTAACTGTTTCCAGGAGGGCGTCCGACCCGGCGACACGACATCGACTTTCTGCGGGACGCCCAACTACATTGCGCCCGAGATTCTCCGAGGCGAGGAGTATGGCTTCAGCGTGGACTGGTGGGCGCTTGGAGTCCTCACATATGAGATGTTGGCTGGACGCTCGCCCTTCGACATCGCGCAGGCTGCCGATAACCCCGACCAGAATACTGAGGACTACCTTTTCCAGGTGAGAGGATAGTTACAGTTCAAGGCTAGGAGACGGCTTCAGCGTGGACTGGTGGGCACTTGGAGTGCTCACATATGAGATTTTAGCCGGACGCTCGCCCTTCGACATCGCGCAGGCTGCTGATAATCCCGACCAGAATACTGAGGACTACCTTTTCCAGGTGAGAGGATACTGACAGGTATAAAATCCTGACAGCTCCTGGCGAGGAGTATGGCTTTAGCGTAGACTGTTGGGCGTTTGAAGTGCTCACATATGAGATGTTAGCTGGACGCTCGCGTTTCGGCAGAACACGAAGGACTATCTCTTCCAGGTGAGAGGATACTGACAGCTCCTGACTTTAGCGTGGACTAGTAGGCGCTTGGAGTGCTCACATATTATGAGATGTTGGCTGGACGCTCGCCCTTCGACATCGCGCAGGCGGCTGACAACCCCGACCAGAATACTGAAGACTATCTCTTCCAGGTGAGACTGATTTTGACAGCAGACAGGATCCTGACAGCTCCTGCGAGGAGACGGCTTCAGCGTAGACTGATTGGTGATACCTAAACGAGATTACTGGACAGTTTCTAATTTTGTTAATTTGTTTAAAATAATGTATTTATCTTTATGTTTATGACACTTTTTTATCAAATTATTTATGACACATTTTTTGTTCTGCTTTATACGGACGAGACCAGAACTTAGAGAAATATGTATTGCAGGTAAAGATGAGAATGTTATTTATCATCGTCTCATCAAATGCTGAGTTCTTAATGTCGAATAAGCTAACACCGTGTACGACAGCACATCAAGCTAAAATATTTTGTATCATAATGTAATGAGAGCTTTGTCCTCGCCAATTTACGCCAATGTAGAGTAAAGTACTGTCACTCGCTGGTTGCTAAGACAGCGGTGAGCGCTAAAGCGGTAGGAAGATTAACGTATTTGCACTCATCAGAATAGCGTCACTGTACAATACGTTCCTGTCATTTGCCAGTGGTGCCAACTGTCATTAAGGCCCGATTTCCATTCTGTCAATGTCATTCAATCTAATTTGGTTATTCAAAACATTTCTCCGCTCCGTTGCGTCTTAGTGGATACCGGGCCTATTTATAACAACGATACTCCTCACTGTAAAAGCATATATTTGTCATGGTGGTAATAGCATTTAGTTATGGCTAGGTACATAGTGTGACAATCCGAACACCCTATCACCACATTAACCCATTACCTTCTCCATTCCAGGTGATCCTAGAGAAGACGATCCGTATCCCCCGCTCGCTGTCGGTCAAGGCGGCGTCGGTGCTGAAGGGCTTCCTCAACAAGAGCCCGGTGGAGCGGCTCGGCTGCGGCGAGAACGGCTTCCTGGACATCGTCAACCACCCCTTCTTCAAGAGCATCGAGTGGGAGATGGTGAGTGGTTCATTCGTTACAGCCAAATGACGTCCATTGCTGGACAAAGGCCTCCCCAAGGATTTTCATAAAGACCGATCCTGTGCTGCCCAAATCCATACTTCCCGCGACATTCACCAGATAGTCGGTCCACCTAGTGGAGAGCCTGCCCACACTACGTCTTCCGGCTTGACACGACAGTTATGTACTGGAATTCGCTGCTTGCTGCTGTCTTCCCCGAACATAATCTGGGCATTTTCAAGGCGAGAGTGAATAGGCACTTATAGGGCAGGTATAAAGCATCCTAGTACTGCATCTCACTTAACATCAGGTGCGATCGCGGTCAAATACCTGCCTTGTTCTGCATAAAAAAGAGGAAGCTCTTGGCCTGCATCTCACCTGATGGAAAGGATCAGAACGAAGGTGAAAGCGAGCTTCATCTGGAATCCTTAATCTCAGGAACTGGCTATCTTATTTCCAACTGCCGGATCACAACAATGCTATCAACACTGTTGTTATAGCGACATACTTAGCTACAATACCACTGCATTATATGTGTACTTTATTGCGCCTAGTCTTAAACGTCTTCAACCTAAACCTCATACACTCAACTTCGATTATCCCTTGCAGCTGTAGCAGAAACAGGTGGTGCCGCCGTTCAAGCCGCGGCTAGTCTCAAACGACTCCCAACCCTAACCTCATACACTCAACGTCGATTATCCCTTGCAGCTGGAACAGAAGCAGGTTGTGTCGCCGTTCAAGCCGCGGCTCGTTTCAAACGACTTTCAACCTTAACCTCATACATCTAACGCTGATATTCTCTCGCAGCTGGAGCAGAAGCAGGTGGTGCCGCCGTTCAAGCCGCGGCTGGAGGGCGAGCGCGACCTGATTCTTGCATTTTATAGTCTCAAACGACTTCCAACCCTAAGCTCATACACTCAACGTTGTTAATCTCTCGCAGCTGTAGCAGAAGTCATGATCTTCCTAGTCTCGCATCGTACAGTCTCAAACGACTTCCAACCCTAAGCTCATACACTCAACATCGATATTCTCTCGCAGCTGGAGCAGGAAAAGCAGGTGGTGTCTCCGTTGATTATCACCTGAATCTTGCGTACACTCTTAAACGATTCCCAACCTAAACCTCATACACCTAACGTTGATATTCTCTCGCAGCTGGAGCAGAAGCAGGTGGTGCCTCCGTTCAAACCGCGGCTGGAGAGCGAGTGCGACCTGATTATCACCTGATCTTGCATTATAGAATCTTAAACGACTTCCAACCCTAAGCTCATATACTCAACGTTGATTATCCCTTGCAGCTGGAGCAGAAACAGGTGGTGCCGCCGTTCAAACCGCGGCTAGTCTCAAACGACTCCCAACCTTAACTTCATAAACTCAACGTTGATTATCCCTTGCAGCTGGAGCAGAAGCAGGTGGTGCCTCCGTTCAAGCCGCGGCTGGAGGGCGAGCGCGACCTGGCCAACTTCCCGCCCGAGTTCACCGACGAGCCCGTGCACCTCACGCCCGACAACGAGTGAGTTCCACAACTCATAATAATCCTCTATCATCATCATGATTAATGGTCAAAATCCATAGACTGCAGACCGCAAGCGTAGCTTAACACCTGGAAAATACTAAGCCCGAAAGATGTAAAACATATCAAAGATCAAAAAATACTGCACTACAAAATAGAGACGGCCGGTCATAACATAATAGAGTATTGCTCCATTGTGACAGATTTAATTTCGATTATCGTTTCACGGAGCGAAGTAAAACTACATACAAAAACATATTCTCATTTCTCAACTCTTCAAACATATTCAAAAGCAGGGCAGGCTCGATATCGTGCCAAATACTACAAACAGTGTCTAGAGTTTTTTTTTTTTTGTTTTTTTGTTTTAGAGTTTTGTTGAAAGTAGGAACGCGTTAGATTACTTTTATTTAGCTAGGGTATGTTTTTGTCACTGTCTAAATGTGTTTAAATTCTTTCCAGCACGGTGATCGCCGACATCGACCAGTCGGAGTTCGAGGGCTTCGAGTACGTGAACCCGCTCCTGATGTCGCTGGAGGATTGCGTGTGACAGCACGCCTGCCTGCTGCACCCCTACCACGACCCAATGCAGGTATGGACCTTATCACTGATGAAATAAGGTTTATTGTTGCATAAACATTTTGTGCTACTCGACCTAACTGTGTCTACCAAGACCCAATGCAGGTATGGACCCTATTACTGACTGCATAAGGTATATTGTTGTAAAACATTTTGTGCTACTCGACCTAACTCTGATGCGTCCCCCTATCACGACCCAATGCAGGTATGGACCTTATCACTGATGAAATAAGGTTTATTGTTGCATAAACAGTTTGTGCTACTCAACCTAACTGTGCTGAATCCCCCTACCAAGACCCAATGCAGGTATGGACCTTATCACTGATGAAATAAGGTTTATTGTTGTAAAACATTTTGTGCTACTCGACCTAACTCTGATGCATCCCCCCCTACCACGACCCAATGCAGGTTTGACCCTTATTACTGGTACATAAGATCTATTTTTGTAAACTACTCAGCTTAACTCTTGCACTCCCCTATCACGACCCAATGCAGGTATGAACCTTATTACTGGTACATAAGATCTATTGTTGTACAACTCGGTCTAACTCTACTGCTGCCCCTAACCCCGACCCAATACAGGTATGACCCTTGTTGCAGAGGACCTTAGGTCGATTGTTGTAAAAACATTTCGAGATTATCAGCTTCACTGTTGCCGCACCCCCCTAAAACCCAATGCAGATGTGACTACAGGAAATGTTTATCACAATGTCATACAATTTATTCAAGTCGCTGACATAGCCCGACGGATTAGCAAGCTGAAGTGGCTGTGGGCAGGGCACATAGTACGCAGAACTGACGGCCGATGGGGCAGCAAGGTTCTAGAATGGAGGCCGCGTACCGGAAAACGCAGCGTGTGACGTCCACCCACAAGGTGGACCGACGACCTGATATACAGGTAGCAGGGCGCTGGATATGGGCCGCTACCAACCGTGCGATGTGGAAGTCATTGGGGGAGGGCCTATGTTCAGCAGTGGACGTCCTATGGCTGAAATGATGATGATGATCATGATACAATTTATTAGTTTTGTCAACGAGTTTGAGATAATACACCCGAGACCATCCCCTTGGCCTAATAATGCGGTAGGTACTTTTCCTAAATACGAAATTATTATTTCAGAAATTATAATTAATCCAACTTAATTAATTATCTTAAATTATTACTAAAATGGCAAATATACAATTTTAATTTTAACCTTGATAATGGAACTTAGATCATTCAAGATTGAACTGAATCGAAGCCAGAAGAAGTCCAAAGAATTCAACTCTTCCCCTAACTTCTAAATAATGGGGGCATTTCAAAGACTGCTTTGTTTTAATTTCATTACAGCCATAAGATGTCCACACTGCCTAAATATGCATGTAAGGCATTCCTCAACTTTTGCAATCTTTATATGGTAATCTATTCCATCACCCTTGGGTTCCACATACTTTGGGGTCTCTGTGTTCATCTCTCAAAGACCCAGACAGCCTGTAGGCGGCTGTACACGCCTAGTGTGACCTAGTATTGACATCTTTCAGGCGTACGGCTACGGGGGCGGCGGCGGGGAGTCGTCGTCGTCGGACTACGACTCGGTGTGCTCGGAGCTGCCGGCGCGGCGCCCCACGCTGCTGCAGCACATGTTCTGCCTACCGCTCAACTGACGCAAGCCGCGGCCGCCTCCGCCCGCGGGACCAAACGCATTGTCTTAACGCTATATTCTAACGGTACGGTGCTTGAGCGGGGATTTTGTGCCTGGAAACATTTGGAGTGCACAAAATCTGTGCTCAACATTTATGTGAATCGTTAGAATATGTGGTAAGTTTGTGATCCACTTTTATATGTTCCCTTTTTAATACATAAATTGTTTCATTGATTTTTTATGCTGAACAAAGCAGATATTTGACCGCAATCACACATGATATTAAATGATATGCAATCTAGGATGGTACATACCTGCGCAGTAAATGCCTATTAACTCTCACCTTGACGAGACTCGGATTATACTGATTTTTAATGAAAATGTACTCAAAGATACCAGACTACTTTAAACTGTCTATCAACCAGTATCAAACCAAAGGCTATATTTATAGATGAATTTATACTAAAGCCTTTTATAGATGAAATAGTTTCAGTTTCATTATCAAAATATTTAAATATTTGTGAAAGTGGATCACAGAATGTTTTTGTGCGGGAGGAGGTGTGATGCGTACACACCATGCACCAAACACTAACGTCAAACACATCACTCACCTTGAGCTACAGCATAGCTTCTAACAGTCTATTACTTATTTACGAGTATATTTAATATACCCCTTTGATTTGACATATTAAAACCATTATGGTATTCTGTGCTTAACTGTATTTATTACTAGTTCAATTGTTTTTACCCGACTGAGCCAGGAGGGTTAAGTTTTTATGTAACACAAGTGGTCATCACAATGTTATTATTGCTAAGCAATTATGTTGTATTAAGTTAAATCATGAATACATTAACGAAAGCGGTGTCTTGTGATGAAAAAGTCACTGATATGGGTTGTAATTGTGTAATGCAAGTAATATTACAAAAAAATGCATAACTTTCTTATAAAAATATACAAAACTGTTGAAAAAATCAAAGTGAATTTCTTATTCAAACGCAACACAAAAATACTCATTTTACTTGTGTCACACGATTACACTGCGAGACACAGAAATTGGCTTCCAATTTTTATAAAACAAAAAAATTAACTAAGTATTTAAGTGGTGCTTTCATGCTGGTTCTTTCGTATTTAATCGTTTATTAGTGTATCGAAGTTATTAATTAAATATGAGCACGTTTTTTACCTATATTTTTCTCTCATGTGACATTTATCACGATTGTAAAATAGAATTCATTGTTTGCACGAATACTTCTAATATCAATGTTACTTCTCTGTTTAAGATTTTCACCGTTCCTCTTTCAACCCACCGATTTATTATATTAAACAACACTCGCATGCAAAAATACACGAAATCGGCTCTTATACAATCCTTCATTGCCTATACAAAAAGTTACATACAAACTTCGTGAAACAATATAAACTTAATAGTGACTGGTTTGAACTATACATCAAAATTTACAATTGATTAAAATACCTAATAAGCAGTTATTTTGCAAGCGAGTATATTTACTCTGTTATGGAATTGAAATTATGGACACTACCCTCTTTTTACTGATGTCTGATCAAAAAATGAATAAATTATTTCAAAGCGTAGTTGCTATTTTGATCAGTAAGTAAAAACTGAGGATGGATGCTGAAAACCATGTTTGGTGCTCGGTAAGTTACGATATGCGATACAAAGATTCAACTGTAGGTAGGGAACAGCAAAGGTTTCGGTCACACTTTACTTGTTATTGTCTTAGATATTTCGATATAACAGTTAGATGTTGGGTAATATTATACAAAAGAGGCCAAAATGGAATGTGTTACAAGTGTAGAAATCAACCAAAAGACTTGAAATTTGTATGGAACCCTTCAACTAACTGTTATCCATCGAAAGTAGAACACTTAAATTATCCCAACGGACACTCCGTTGTTTCGAAAACGCTTCTGTACATAATTAACGGAAATTAATCAATATGTATTATACGGGAAATATTATAAGACTTAATATTTTTGAAACTATTGTAGTGTCTATCTATCCTTTCTTTGAGAAAGGTCGGTTTAGTATGTTGGTATTGTATTGTGGTAACTTTATGTAACGATTCAACCGCCGAGTTCATTTGGCAGCGAGGTGGAATCGTCTTTATTAAAACGGTGTAAAGTCTCTTTTGTAATATCAATGCTGAATGAACTTTCAATAAGTTTGATATAATAAAACTGACTTTAAAATAACTCTAATAAAGTACATTGTACCACGGCAGCCCTCTCGCGTGGTTCGAATCTCGCTCGTGACTTTCGCGCTTCCCTAATTCCCTTTACTTGGGGCTGCGGTCTGCACGCGTTAAATTTGTCATTATTGTTTCAAGCAATAATTATTATTGTAGTTTATCTATGTGGATACCGAGACGGTTGTCTACCAATGAAGGCACGTAAGGAATTAATCGTAGATTTTTGCGGCCACCGGCTGGCGAGCATATTATAGTCCTTATCCAAATTTAGTATATTCCCTAGACGCCTAGATTTAACTTAGTTTCGTAGCTACGATTCTTGGCATTTTGATGCGCGTGTCATTTACTTACAATCGTATTCCGATTAATGTACAAATGTTACAAAGTATTTAATACTTTTGTCATGTAAAATGTAAATGACACGTGGGATTTTGCTATTTATTATAAAACATTAAATGGCGTGGAACACATTCCAACGTTAATTATACTAATCGAATGCATGTTTAATTAAGAAAATTAATGATAACGATGTAGTTCATTTTGTTATTAAAATTTTATTATAATAAAACGTTGGACAGTTTCCATGCCACTAAGTGTAAAGTATATTCCATTCCCTATTGTAGATCTATATATAGTTGACCTTCATAGCTAACACCACTCGTTTAGGTAGCCAACGAATTTTATATATAAAAATATGATATTGAGCACTGAAACAAATTTAAAATTGTGTACATTATAAACAAATAAATCGTAAATTACATTGGTTATAAATATAACAAATTATTGTTAAATGTAGAAGAAAAGACTTATTATATAAAGATGGTAAATTATGTAATGTGTTACGGCGTGCGGGCGCCAATGAGCTCAAGTGTCCACAAACTATTCTAAATAGTGTGTAGTATCTATCTTAGACATTTTGCACCGATATTAATAGACTCGCACTCGCGCCGCGTGTGCTGCGCCTTCGCGTCACTCGATATTTGTCACGCTACTTGCGTCACGCGTATTTATCGAGTGACAGACGTCGGCCTGACTTTATGTGGTTTTACCCGTAATGGTATGACTACACAAGGCGTACTAAAAGCGTTACAAAATACCGTTGTAAAATAAATGTGTATTCTATTCCATTGCTATTAATGTGACTGTGAATACGCCGTGTGTAGTTGAACCGTATTGTATTTTATTGATGTGTTGTCGTTTTGGAGTTACGTGTATGTAAAATACCATTTTGTTTGACGGTCAGTTGTGTTTGGATGAACCAGAGATTATTATAAACGTTAGAAGCATCTGCAGCATACCGCCAAAGCCTGCACTAGGGTTATTGTATTATGTTATTAAGTATTTATATTGTAAGCGGCAGTATTCTGGTACTATTAAAGCTTTAGGTGTATTTAGTTTAACATTCCAACGTATCTGAAAGCATTGTTATTTGTTCTGAGTGATTTTAAAATGCAGTGTGCTGTGGTAACTGTGAACCTCACCATCCAAATATATCATAGTCTGGTATCAGCCCGCTTCGCACTGATGCTAATATAGTATATTCATAGATATAGAAATATATCAGTAATTAAGAAATCTGCAATTCAGCACTCTGCATTATCGTTTTAAATGTATCGTTGTGAATCAGACGTTAAGTTTGAACTATATAAATGATTTATTACCAAAAATATGTATAAAGAATCATACTAACTGCATGACAAGTGAAAAACAATTACTACCTATTTAATGATAACGTAAGAGGAATTGTTAATATGTAACATTCGCTGCATTAGAACAAAATCATGTGTAATGTGATTAGTTTTTAAGTAATTTTAGTTGATAATTACTCGCATAAACACCAGATATTGTAATGGAGCAAGCAGTTGTAATGTTTTGATAGTTTTGTTGGCCGTACTTTGTGTATGTTACTTACGTGTTACTTACGAGTCCATTGCGAAGGCTTGCGAATCTGCCAGTGGCAGGAAACTTGGGATACTGTACTATTCTATGCTTAACTGAAAATAAAGAAAGATTAATCCGAAAACACGTTTATTTTATCACCCTTTTCTTCTTACCTTACTTTATAGCCCAATGAGGGTTTTCGCGAATGAAAAATCCGCCAGATGGCAATACGTAGACGCGAGGTCCAAATGCTGCATTTTTGGATATTTTTGACATGACCTTGACAGATATGTTAAAATCCACCAATCACGCAGCAGTCAGACCCCAAATCCACGTCCCGCCATCTAGCGGATCTTTCATTCGCGAAAACCCTCATTAAACAAGCTTTCCTTAGTTTGAGACTAGATGGCGCAGTATAAATGTCATAGGAATAGACAAGTTTAAATTCAAATTAGAAGCGGATGTTCTTTTATTTAAATATTTGTTCCGGTCGGCAATTGATTGATGAATGGGTAGACGAGTGAGTGAGAGGGCCGTATTTTGTCCTTTTCTTACAGGATATAGATGACCCACGCTGAACTGTCCCGCCAAACTCAATGACAGGGGGGCGCTACCATCGTTCAACTATATGGTTTCCAACATGGCAAAAATCTGAACCAGCGATCCGGTAACACTGCCAGCGATCACCCTCAAAATATTTTTTTTGCAGTTGAATGAAATAGCAATACATTCGACTCTTTCTAATGTGTGGGATACAAGAGCACTCTTCGTAGTTCATGTGCTCCTGGTACTTTTTCATAAGTATAAACGTTTTTCGCAGGCAGATTGAGAAACAAAACTGACTTTTACCACAGCGTTCGCGAACACTGCCAGTGATCTACCCTCAAAATCATTTTTTTTGCTGTTGAGTGAGATAGCAATACATTCATCTCTTTCTAATGTATGGGATACAAGAGCACTCTTCGTAGTTTATGGGCTCCTGGTACTTTTTCAACAATATGCTCAATTTTGAGGCATATTTTGAGCTTTTTCTGCTGACACTCATCGTGCTTTCATGAACACGGGCAACACCGCCGGGCATTTTGGTAGCGCGATGGCGTGGCGCTATGGATCACAGATTAGAGAGTATAGTTCCAAAATATTGAACTGTCCTATGCATGACATTAACAGTGGGGCGCCACCGTCAATACCGGATCGCTGGTTCCGATTTTTGCCATGTTGGAAACCATATAGTTGAACAATAGTAGCGCCCCCCTGTCATTGAGTTTGGTGGGACAGTTCAGCGTGTGTCATCTATATGCTATAGATGGCGTGGCGCGTGGCATAGGGCGCGTGGCGTGGTGGAGGCTGGTTTGACCAAAAAAAAATAGAAAATCGATTATAATTGAGTAAGATAGCGCATATATTAGTCTCTTTCTAATATGATGGAACATTTTCCTAATAATTATGCACTCTTTATTTTTTGGTCAATACTTAGAGAAAATTTAGGAGCAAATACGGAAAAAGCTTGTCACTATTTTTTCTGTCTCAAAAATTTGCTGTGTGTCTGTAAGTACTAGGAGTGCATAAGAATGAGAAGATTAATTCCTGTCTATGAAAGAACATTTTCAACATCAACCCAATCCTCCCCGGGTCCACAAAAATTAAAAATGTTTGCAGAAAGAAAGACAATCTGCCTTTGAAACGTTCATAATGAACAAAAAGTACTAGGAGTGCATGAACTAAGAAGAGTGTTTCCTTGTCCCACATGTTAGAAAGAGACTAATGGATACGCTATCTCACTCAACCCAGATAATTTTATTTTGTGGGTAGACCGCCGCAAATGTCCGCAAAATTGACAGCTGCAATTTTCAACCTGCCTTCAACTTCATTCATATTATTTAAAAAAGTACCAGGAGAGCATAGTGGTTAAAATTGTTAATGATAGAAAGGGACACGTAGATACCGTCTCTACACGTTAGAAAAAGATAGACATACCTCCCCGGGTTCATTTTAAATGGACAAAGGAAGTTTTATTGCGTCTACTACAATGGTAATTTAAACCAAAGGTGACATTGCGAACATTATAATATGTTGTTTCTGTGTTTTTGAGTTTAATATAATTTACGGGTGTAATGAATTTCGTTTAAAAATGTTCAATAGAATTTATTATCTACCGAAGAGCTGCTAAAAACTTGCGTAAGGTATATAAATGAAACACCATTTGAATTTGTATATTTTATTCCAACATAAATACTACAATACAGCTGATTTGAACATAAACCAGTTAACCTCTTCGATACAGTCGCGATGACAAAACTTCAAACAAATAAACATTTCTTATTTTATAAAAATTGTGACGTCACACAAATAGCCCTTTAAAATATATCATATATTTGCATATTGCAAGAACCTATTTTAAATAGTTTTATTTAATTTTCACAAATATTGTAATATTTTATAGACAAGGTAGATTTCTAAAGCCTGGTCCGTGAGCACGTAGAATCCCGTCCAATGACCCCAAGCTGCCCATCCTTGTCGCTCGCACGTAATTATGTAATCATGTTGTTATTTGAGTTGGTATTATTTGCGATACTACTGTTTTTAATTTTTGCACGCTTCCTAGTTCGAGCAAATTTCAGTGAAACTTACCAAATCTATGTAAGACCACTTATGTACCTGGAATTACGCAAATAAAGAAATTTGATTTTGATTTGATATGTTGCTGTCGCGCTCGCACACTCACTACGGGCGCGCGTCGCACAGTCGCGACAGCAATATAATTACGCGCGAGCGATAAGGATGGGTAGCTTGGTGTCATTGGACGGGATTTTACGTGCTCACGGACCAGGCTTTAAACTGGATTTCAATCTACTTAACATTTCTATACGAATTTTGGGAGTAGGGCCTTTAAAATACCTGAGGTAAAATAACAAAAATAAATATATGCATTCTTTTAAAATACCGTCACAGAAAATACTTATGAATACTGATGGAGTCAGATCGGTGGTTCTATAGTACATCTATGTTATATTATAAAACGTGATTAAGGTAGAAAAATGATTGTTTAGTACAGTCAAAAACAACACACTGTTCAGTAAATATGGTAATGACTGTAGCCAAACAAAATACATCAATGGAACGGTGGGGCTACAAAGTAAAATCTGCTACAGTGCAGAGCTTTATTTCTATTATAGAACAATTTGTATATAAAAAAGAATAACTTTCAAAATAGTAAACCTATGAAAATTTTGTGAAGTTTTTTACAATATTAATTTATTTCAATCTATCTAAATGTGTTATAAATAAGCCTTCTCTATAAATAATAAGATTATAAACATCAGATTTTGCTAAATACGTATATTTTTACAATATATTCCTATTAATACAAATTTTGATAATTGAAACGTATATTATTTTAACAAAAAAATTTTAACAAACAAATTCAGGGCCATTCTCTAATTCCTTACATGAGGACAGGTCCTTTTAAATTACCCGATATAAATATTAAGAGCAAACACTCAATTTTATGCCCAAAAATTGTAAATATTCGAAAATACATTGCTCAGATCATTTGACACATACAATCTAAGTTTTTGGTACAGTATTTGACGTGGTGAGCACAGTGGGTCGAAGAATGGATAAAAATTTTGAAAAACAAAATATTTCGAGTGAACTTTTTCGCATGAGACACAATTTGGCAACTATCACATGACGAAATACAAAACCTTGGGCATACCAGGGAACAACTGAAGCTACATTATGTGGAACATAGGAACCACTACGCAGTTGCGTTGAAAAGCATTTAGTTAGAAAGCAAAAGTGTTTACAAAAATTATGTTTTACAATAATTTTTTACATGACCACCACACAAATAACATGTATATTTTCTAAAAAATACTCTCAAGGACCTTTTAAGACACACCGAACGTTCAATCTCTAGATACATTATATCAAAACGATAGTACTCACTAGGGGCAAGATACAAAATACGGTGGCAACGTCAATTTGTACGGATGAGATGTTTGGCTACAGATCATCCCAAAACGTAAGACATGCGGATCAAGACCCCTAGTGAATACGAAGCCTCCGTCAAACAGGAGGCAATGCGTTGCATGGCATCAACACAATGCCACCCCAAGTTTGACCCCTGCTAGGGACTAGTTCGTAAATTCATTCAAACCTACCTATGACCAAATCGAAAAAATAAATTCTCACTCCACAATCAATTTTATACAAAAATATTTTTCAAATATATAAAATCAATCACATAACAAATCACAGAACTGATAAGATAAGAAATTAACGATAAAATATTAAATACCAAAACAGAAATTATAAATAATAATATATTTTTGTTTCTATTATATTTTTTTTGTGATATTATTGTGCTTACAATGTTTATAAAATTCCGTCAACGATATGCAGTAGCTACTATAGTCGGTGACGGACTTAAGATAGTTTAGTCAGTGCAAAATTGATCCTTATTACACAAAAAATATGGAATGAACTTGCAGGTGACGTCACAATCAAATATGGTATTTAGAAGGATCACTTTTACACTGCTATCTTTGTGCCTCAGAAAAATTAAGAGACAATTTCACAAAGCACATTTTATTCATTAATAAAATAAAATCAACTTAAAGTTGACGTAAATAAATACGATAATTCTATAATGCTTGTTACAATCACTTTGGATATGCAAACACTGGGTAATACTGGGTATACATTGAGTGCAAACTATGGCACTAAACTAAGGACGAGCTACATGGAGGTGAATAAGTATTTATTGCTCTATGGCACATTTAGACATACATTAGGTACTTATGTTTAGGTGAATAATTTAAAAATTTAGATTATTTTATCGGCGCGTACACATCTTTTTTAAATGTAGCGCGCGTGAGAAGCGCGACTGTTTTTCAGTTAAGGACTCATGCGCCCAAAACTAGCACAATGTTTTAGAGCTCAAGAAACTAGTCTGTTTACGAACCAGCCGTTACTATTGTTATTTACATAGCACTCAAAATCTTAAATTAATTTTGTATACTGGAAGGTATGAGTAGAAGCATACCTACCCTTGTAGTCGTTGGACCAATGCCTTTTAGAAGCTATGGCAGTAGTCAGTTGAAAAAACGAGAGCTCTTCAAACCTAAAAGACCAACGTTTTCTAGAATATTGTAACCTTAGTGTTGAGGAGTATAAAATGTCCAGCAGTGGCCTATCTATTGGATACAAATGTGTGTCTAAATGTCCCTAGTAGTAAGTGCTAAAAACCTGGTTATGTATAGTGCCAGGGTATAGTCGTGTTCACTTGTCCCCATTCTCGTGCGCGAGCTTCTGTTTCTTGGGCGGCGGGGACGGGGAGAACATTGCGCCCGACGCCAGCTCGGCCATCAGAAATGGCACCTGGGTGACGAAATATTGCAAATTAGAAAGGTGTTTAGAAATCAAATGGGTTTACGCCACTGATCAATAATACGAAGATACATTTGAAGAGTGGCTGACATAGCCCGCAGAATCGCTAAAGTCAAGTGGCAGTGGACGGGGCACATAGCTCGTGGAGCTGAAGGCCGCTGGGGCAGGAAAGTTCTTGAATGGCGACCACGAGCCACTAGGTGGACCGACGAATTAAAATATTCATAAGTTTTTTTTTAAACGCGCGTGACGCGTATGAATTGAAAACGCGTTGATACCCGCCTATTGGCTGGTAGATTCTTATGCTGTCCCTGTTGCTCATAGTACTAGCTAAAAGTGAGAGGGATGGACACGAAACTATGGAAGTTTTAGGAGTAACTTCACTATACCTTGTGCTCCAACTGCAGATGATGCGTAGGCTGCAGCCCAAGACAGGCTCTCATGAGATTTTCAATAGCTGCACGTTGCTTGAACAGCGCGTTGACGACGGGCGCTCCTTGCGGCACCATCGGAGCCTTCAAAAGGTAGGAGAGCGTCGACATCACTGTGTGTAGCGAGGTTCATTCTGGAAGGCCTGTAGGGATCCTCTGTCACTGTCGCTCACGCTGGCTTCTCCCTTCGAGAGACAGGGAGTGATAGATATAAATATATTACCTTGGGCTCTAGCTGCAAATGATGCGAAGGCTGAAGCCTGAGGCAGGATCACAGGAGGAATTCTCTTGTCACTGTCGCTCATGATGACATCTCTCTTAGAGTGAGAGTGATAGAAATCTTCAACCTTCTGGTACATGTTTTGGGAGTATCCCCATTGTACATTGTGTACAAGCTGCAGATGATGTGTGCATTGATTGAAAAACGCGTTGACAACCACCTATAGGCTAGTGGAGTCTTAGGCTCTGTCACTGTCGCTCATGCTGGTATTCTATCTAAAAGTGAGATGGACACAAAACTATGGAAGTTTTAGGAGTAACTTCACTATACCTTGTGCTCCAACTGCAGATGATGCGTAGGTTGCAGCCCAAGACAGGCTCTCATGAGATTTTCCACAGCCGCCCTCTGTTTAAACAGCGCGTTGACTCCTCTGAAATATGTCACTCTCTGCTCTGTCACTCATACTGGCTTCTCCCTTAAAGTGACAAGGACGAACACATTAAGACTCGTACCTTGTGCTCTAACTGCAGATGATGCGTAGGCTGCAGCCTTCAACAGCCGCCCGCTGTTTGAACAGCGGGTTAACTCCTGTGATATATGTCACTCTCTGCTCTGTCACTCACACTGACTTCTCCCTGAGAGTGACAAAGATGAACACATTAGACCCTTACCTTGTGCTCCAACTGCAGATGATGCGTAGGCTGCAGTCCGAGACAGGCTCTCGTGAGATTTTCCACAGCAGCCCGCTGTTTGAAGAGCGCGTTGACATCGGGCGCGCTGGCTGGTAGTGTTTTGTCACTGTTGCTCACGCTTGGATCTCGCTGTGAGTAAAAAGGACACAAACATAGCTTGACTATACCTTGTGCTCCAACTGTAGATGATGCGTAGGCTGCAGCCCGAGGCAAGCTCTTATGAGGTTTTCCACAGCTGCCCGCTGTTTAAACAGCGCGTTGACTTCTGCCTGTTAGCTAGTAGTGTTTTGTCACTATTTCTCACGCTTGTATCTCGCTGTGAGTAAAAAGGACACAAACATAGCTTCACTATACCTTGTGCTCCAACTGCAGATGATGCGTAGGCTGCAGCCTTCAACAGCCGCCCTCTGTTTAAACATCGGGTTGACTCCTCTGATATATGTCACTCTCTGCTCTATCACACACGCTGACTTCTCCCTGAGAGTGACAAGGATGGACACATTAGACCCTTACCTTGTGCTCCAACTGTAGATGATGCGTAGGCTGCAGCCCAAGACAGGCCCTCATCAGGTTTTCCACAGCCGCCTTCTGCTTGAACAAGGCGTTGACCACGGGCGCTCCTTGCGGCACCATCGGAGCCTTCAAAAGGTATGAGAGCGTTGACATCACCGTGTGTAGAGATGTCCATTCTGGAATGTGATATTAATAAATTAGTTTATTTATCTTTTTACAATACAAAAAATACATTGGTAGGTAAAGTTAAATTAGTAATTATTTAGTAATTAGTAAGTAAGTTCATTAAGTAATTATGTTATTACATAATTACTAATTTAATTAATCAATAAAACTGTATAACTCAGTGATTAATTAACTGGAATAATTTAAGATTTTCAATTTACTTCTACAACTTTCTTCCTTCTGTAGTGCTGTGCCTTTATGAATGAATCCCTTGTTGTCTCATCAACAGCCCTTTAAAGTCCACTGCTGGACTATGAGCCTCCTCTACTATAGTGGAGGGTTTTGCCATAATCCCCACGCTTGGCAGGCGGGTTGGAGATCGCAGTTTAAAATATTGATGTTTTTCAGAGAGCGCTGCTGCCCGTTCTCTGTTTGATGTGTAGTCCCTAAGTCGCCTCTTACGACACCCGTGGGAAGTGTGGGGGTTGGTGACAAATGTATTCTACTCTGCCGTCACCACACGGCTTCCCTTGTTGTCTAACCTTGTGCAAATGCATGCGCATGGGCAGCGTAGGACATTCTGGGAGTGGGTAGTCAATGCGAAAAAACGCTCAACGGTTGGAATGTGCAGGTGTCAAAATGTCCATACGGACCGGCTGTTAGTGTGGCAAAAAGTATGAACTTCAAAAAGTCCCAGTGTCAAAATGTACCATGGTTACAGTGCTTTAGTGACAAATGGTACACAACACAAAATAAAAGTACAACAAAAGGTGTGATAGATAAAATGATCAACTGATTAAATTAATTTGCTCATGATTACATTAATAAAATTAAATGTCAAAATGTTCAATGTTCTTGCAGTCCAGTCAATAAAGTGTTTTTTTGGATATTTTTACCTTGATGCATTTAAACACGTTTTCACGTTAGCTATTACACAATAAGACGCTTGTTCGAATAAACCCGTAGACATTTTAACTTCAGATCATTTTAACCATTGCTCATTTCGACGTTCATACTTTTTGTCACACTAACAGCCGGTCCATATGGACATTTTGACACCTGCACATTCCAACCGTTGAGTGTTTTTTCGCATTGACTACCCACTCCCAGAATGGCGTAGGACCAGTCGTTGTAGAAATCTTTGGGATGCTTTTGTCCAGCTGACGTCATTAGACTGAAACAAACGATGGTCAGCAGGCCTACTCCGACAGGCTGTTTACGTAGTTTCGAGTCTATCTGTCGCTCAAGCTGGCATCTCGCGTGAGAGGGATGGCAACATTCGAAACTTCGGAGAACGTGTTTTCAGAGTAGCCCCGCGGTATTGTCTAACCTTGCGAGTCCTGGCGCACGGAGAGACGCTGCAGCCAATCCTTGGAGCCTTTGTCCAGCAGTGGACGTCATTTGGCTGAAACGAACAATGGTCAGTCTCACCCGGCGAGTCCTTCTGGCGTGCAGGTGCCTGGATGTGCACCGCAGGAATCATTGTAGAAATCCTTGGGGCTTTTGTCCATAAGTGTACATTTGGCTGATACAACCGAAGGTCAGTATCGTCTCACCCGGCGAGTCCTTTTGGCGTGCAAGTGCCTGGATGCGGACACCGCAGAAAACATGTAGATATCTTTGGGGTCATTTGTCCATAAGTGTACATTTGGCTGAAACGAACGATGGTCAGTCTCACCCAGCGAGTCTTTTGGCGCGTAAGTGCCTGGATGTGGGCAGCGCAGGAATCATGTAGATATCTTTGGGGTCTTTGTCCAGAAGTGGACGTCTGGCTGAAACGAACAAAAGTCAGTCTCACCCAGCGAATCTTTTTGGCGCGTAAATGCCTAGATGCGGGCACCACAGGAATCATTGTAGAAATCCTTGGGGCCTTTGTCCAGCAGTGGACGTCATTTGGCTGAAACAAAGATCAGTATTGTCTAACCTTGCTAGTCTTCCTGGCGCACAGAAACGCGCTGCAGCCAATCGGCAAGCAGCACTAGATCCAGAATGAGCGGGACAGCCAGTAGAGAGTCTTCGCACGTATTACCAATTGTTGTGGAAACCCTTGGGATACCTTTGTCCAGCAAAAGTCACTAGGCCGAAACAAACGAAGGTCAGCATGCCTACTCTGAAACGGTGTTTACCTAGTTTCGAGTCTATCTGTCGCTCAAGCTGGCATCTCGCGGGAGAGGGGTGGCAACATTCGAATCTTCGGAGAACGTTTTTCAGAGTAGCCCCGCGGTATTGTCTAACCTTGCGAGTTTTGGCGCAAGGAGACACGCTGCAGCCAATACTTGGGGCCTATGTCCAGCAGTGGACATCATTTGGCTGAAACTAACGATGGTCAATATCGTCTACCCGGAGAGTCCTCCTAGTGTCTACATGCGGGCACCGCAGGAATCATGTAGAAATCTTTGGGGTCTTTGTCCATAAGTGTACATTTGGCTGATACAAACGAAGGTCAGTATCGTCTCACCCGGCGAGTCTTTAGGAGCGTAAGTGCCTGGATGCGGGCACCGCAGGAGTCATTGTAGAAATCTTTGAGATGCCTTTGTCTATACTCGACGTAAAGACACGTGGCACGCGGTGCCATAAGTAATTTTTGAAACAGAGATGCACAGTGCACACTCGCCAATTATTTTATTAATTTACTTATTATAAACAACGCTTTGCTTGCCTCTGTGTGACGTCACCCATGATGATAGTGCGAGTGCGAGAGAAAATGTGATATGCACTGTTTTATTATGACACCGCCTGGCACTAGTCTGCGCCGAGTATAGCAGACGTCATTTGGGTGAAACAAAGATTAGTGTTGTCTAACCTTGCGAGTCTTCCTGGCGCACAGAAACGCGCTGCAGCCAATCAGCCAGCAGCACTAGATCCAGGATAAGCGGGACAGCCAGTAGAGAGTCCTCACACGTGTTGCCGGTCGTTGTGGAAATCCTTGGGATACCTTTGTCCAGCAAAAGTCACTAGGCCGAAACAAACGAAGATCAGCAGGCCTACTCCGACACGCTGTTTACGTAGTTTCGAGTCTATCTGTCGCTGAAGCTGGCATCTCGTGTGAGAGGGATGGCAACATTCGAAACTTCGGAGAATGTTTTTCGGAGTAGCCCCGCGGTATTGTCTAACCTTGCGAGTCCTCCTGGCGCACTAAATCCAGGATGAGCGGGACAGCGAGCAGCGAGTTCTCGCACGTATTACCGGTCTTTGTGGAAACACTTAGGCTGAGTTGCACCACTAAACTTTGACCGGAATTATAACGATAACCGGTGATTTTTGTATGGAGTTTGACATATTTTTGACGTTTGTTACAGTCAAAGTAAGTTGGTGCAACCCAATCTTAGGGTATTTGACCAGCAGTGGATGTCATTTGGCTTAAAAGAAAGATGGTCAGTCTCACCCGGCGAGTCTTTTGGCTCGTAATTGCCTGGATGTGGGCAGCGCAGGACCGGTCGTTGTAGAAATCTTTGGGATACCTTTGTCCAGCAAAAGTCACTAGGCCGAAACAAACGAAGGTCAGCAGGCCTACTCCGACACGCTGTTTACGTAGTTTCGAGTCTATCTGTCGCTCAAGCTGGCATCTCGCGTGAGAGGGATGGCAACATTCGAAACTTCGGAGAATGTTTTACGGAGTAGCCCCGCGGTATTGTCTAACCTTGCGAGTCCTCCTGGCGCACTAAATCCAGGATGAGCGGGACAGCGAGCAGCGAGTTCTCGCACGTATTACCGGTCTTTGTGGAAACACTTAGGCTGAGTTGCACCACTAAACTTTGACCGGAATTATAACGATAACCGGTGTTTTTTGAATGGAGTTTGACATATTTTTGACGTTTGTTACAGTCAAAGTAAGTTAGTGCAACCCAGCCTTAGGGTATTTGACAAATTGACCAGCAGTGGACGTCACTTGGCTGAAACGAACGATGGTCAGTCTCACCCGGCGAGTCTTTTGGCGCGTAAGTGCCTGGATGCGGATTTGTGGAAATCCTTGTGGGAGGCCCTTGTCCAGCAGTGGACGTCATTTGGCTGAAACGAATGTCAGTATTTTCTACTAACCTTGCGAGTCCTCCTGGCGCACAGAAACGCGCTGCAACCAATCAGCAAGCAGCACTAAATCCAGGATAAGCGGCACAGCCAGTAGAGAGTCTTCACAAGTGTTGTGGACCACGATAGTGTTGGTGCCGTGGAGAAGGATCTCGGAGGTGTACTCGTCCATCGCACGCTTTGAGTCGCCTGTGAGAGAGAATAAGTCGTTTGAGAGGCTTATGACAGCCTAAAATTCTGAGACCCGTTTTCACTATCAATCCCTAATTTTTAAGTGACCCCTATGGTAACACTCAAGAATTTTGTTTTCATAGGGATCACTTAAAAATTAGAGATTGATGGTGAAAACGGGCATAAAGATCTTACACATAAACATGATTTAGGTCATGCTGCGGTGAATAACGATGTCACCATGTCCTAAGTCAACGATGCGACACGGCAAGTAGGTACGATGAGCGCGATGAAACCAAGGCATCCCTTGCTTGCGACCTACGTGTCAGTATGCGACGTAGCGTCTTTCCGTTCTATACATAGCCAGAACGCAAGGGTGTGAAACTAATCGAGTATAGTTTGGAAATGACTTTATTTACTAAGCTCCTCCAAACTATACACGACCAGTACGCATATACTGCGTACTGCTCGCGCATATGTATGAATTTTTGGTATTTGGAATGAAGAAGACACTAATTTTCTCTGTAAATGAAAAGGAAGGTAAAGGAGGTAAAGGATTTATTTAGGTATTTCAAAATTATCAAGCAAAAATCGACGCAAACTCACCGACATAGGGCACGTATTTGATGACAACCACGTGGTCAGGTTTCTCGCCCGGCTTGTACAGTATCTGGTTCGACTCCACCATGTCGTCTACCACGTTGCTCTTGGTTATCTACAAATATACAAACGCATTTAAAACTATCAGATTTGTGGTTGGCGCCACTGGCGTATAACAGAACTTTGGAAGTAAGGCTATGCACATACGGTTGATTTTTTGTCACTGTGACAATATTATCTTTCTCTTTTACACTTTTATAAAGAGAAAGAGAGACACAACGTAGTACTTATTCTTATCTATGCAGAGACTTAGGCTGAGTTGTACCATCTAACTTTCATCGTAACTATGACGGCGGTATTTTTGTAAGGAGTTTGACAGATTTTTGACGTTTGTTAAAGTTAAGTAAGATGGTGCAACCCAGCCTTACTGTCACGGTGACAAAAATAACCCGTGCGCGTACGCTTTGACCAACCGGATGAATGCAAAGGCGATTGTTCTGCTGTCGTTCAGCAGTTACTAGTTGGTACCACAGTCATAACTATTAGTGAATAACAGGACATTACTTCTTTCTCTTCTGATATAATAATAACTGAAATCTAAAGAAGATTCTTAATCAACTTACCTCTTTTGACCGGAACTGCTTGGGAGCAGAGAGATTCTTGCCGTCGTTGTTTCCTAGATGGTTGTAGCTCACGATGGATACCGGTTTTAGACCTGAAAACCATTTTATGTAAATTAATAACTTTTCCTAAGACATTTGTCTCGAGGGTTAATTGGGAAGTATTTTGGTTCGCGACGAGATTTACCATAAGACAGGCTACAAAACTGTTGCATTAAATTTTTGCAACCAGAAAGACGTGACGTAAGACAATGCCATTTTAAAAAAGAGGATTAAACTCGTCCAGGGAATGTAAGGTCCCCAGCCCCCATCACCAGCAGAGACCAGAAAATCAACCAGCACAGACTTGAGCTTGGTCTATCCGAACTTGAAGTCGTCTCCCGCCACGTAGACGCCGTTTTTCTCCGCGCCATCTTACATATCGATTCTTATCTAGAGCAGGTTTCTCAAACTAGGGTTAGGCGATAATCGTTAAGGGTTCGCGACAAGATTTAGCCATAAGACAGGTAACAGAGTACAATACTGGTGCAGCAAAATTATTCGAGAATTCAATTTGTCCCCCTCCCTGGATCAGATTGCTATGTCATAAACTCACTGTACTCGTAGACTCACCAGCAGAGACCAGGAAGTCCACCAGCACAGACTTGAGCTTGGTCTGCCCGGACTTGAAGTCATCTCCTGCCACACAGACGCCATTCTCTCATAGAGTAACTTTACGAGACCGATATGTATCTCAGACTACTCGAGACTTACCAGCAGAGACCAGGAAGTCGACCAGCACAGACTTGAGCTTGGTCTGGCCGGACTTGAAGTCATCTCCTGCCACACAGACGTCGTTCTTTTCGGCACTATCTTATCTGAGCATAGAGTAACTCTACTCTAGAGACCGATATGTATCTCAGACTTTTTTTTAAACGGCCCCGTGGTCTAGTGGTAAGACCACCTGCTTCAGACGCAGAGGTCCCGGGTTCGCAGATTTTTCTGTTCGGTTTGGTTGGTAGTAGGGCTTGTTCTAAGTCCGCGTGGCTAGCTACCACCATCTTACCTAAGTCTGTCGCCATAACAACAATGTTAACAGTATTATTGTGTTCCGGCAGTTAGAGGTAAGATAGCCAGTTCCTCCGTGGTTGAGGATTCCGGGTGAAGCTCTCTTCCACCTTCGGCCTGATCGTCACTTACCATCAGGTGAGATACAGGCCAAGAGTGTCCTCGTTGTGGATAAAAAAAAAGACTGCGGGAGACTCACCAGCAGAGACCAGGAAGTCGACCAGCATAGACTTGAGCTTGGTCTGCCCGGACTTGATGTCGTCCCCCGCGATACGAAATGTCTCTTTTTAAAGTCCATTGCAGACTCATCGGGCCGGGCACATAGTACGCAGAACTGACGGCCGATGTGGCCAGCAAGGTTCTGGAATGGAGGCCGCGTACCGGAAAACGCAGCGTGGGACGTCCACCCACAAAGTGGACTGACGACATCATAAAGGTAACAGGGAAGCGCTGGCCGCAGGCCGCTACCAATCGATCAACATGGAAAGCATTGGGGGAGGCCTATGTTCAGCAGGGGACGTCCTATGGCTGAAATGATGATGATGATGCAGACTCACCAGCAGAGACCAGGAAGTCCACCAGCACAGACTTGAGCTTGGTCTGGCCGGACTTGAAGTCGTCCCCGGCCACACAGACGCCATTCTTTTCGGCACTATCTTATCTGAGCATAGAGTAACTCTACTCTAGAGACCGATATGTATCTCAGACTTACGAATAACACCTTTTGTAAACATTATGGAAGCAATAAACTATTGAGTAAAGACTGCGGGAGACTCACCAGCAGAGACCAGGAAGTCCACCAGCACAGACTTGAGCTTGGTCTGGCCGGACTTGAAGTCGTCCCCGGCCACACAGACGCCATTCTTTTCGGCACTATCTTATCTGAGCATAGAGTAACTCTACTCTAGAGACCGATATGTATCTCAGACTTACGAATAACACCTTTTGTAAACATTATGGAAGCAATAAACTATTGAGTAAAGACTGCGGGAGACTCACCAGCAGAGACCAGGAAGTCCACCAGCACAGACTTGAGCTTGGTCTGGCCGGACTTGAAGTCGTCTCCCGCGACGCAAACGCCATTTTTCTCGGCGCGCTCGATGACGCCCGGCACGAGAGTGTTTTGCGGCGAGCCGTTTATGTATGCGCACTGGAAGACAATATTACTTATTATTATCATTTATCTTACTAATAATATAAATGTGAGGATGTTTGTTACCCTTTTATACTTTTACTGAACTGATTTAGATAAAAATTGGTATAAAGTCTGAGACCCAGGGGTTTTTCCCTCCATAAAAATACTGATAGTTTGAGGGATTTGATTTACCCCTCCGTAAAACAGATATAGACAGGCGAAAATTATCACGGGCAGCGGGCAAAAGCTAAAGTACGGCCAACAAGAAGCGATACCAAATGAAAACAAACCCATCCAACCCGTCTGACTTTGACATATTTTGGCGGGAGAACGAGACATTACGACAAATACACAAGATGGGAAGAGACAGAATATATGTATTGTCAACTCGACAGTTGTATCGACCCGGGTCAGCTTTTGAAGCTCAAATAAAAAGACACGCTACAAAAACCCTTACCGAGTTAGTCTTCTATTGCTAGAAAATGAATTTTACAGCAAACTGATTTTTTAAGAAGTTGTGTCTTGAGGCATATGGTCTTAATCTACTTAATTGCAAATATTATACCATGCAATAAACCCAGTTATCTGTTACTGGTCGCTGAGCACGTAATTATATTGCTGTCGCGCTCGCACACTCACTGCTCTCACTGCTGCCGGCCGTCGCACAGTCGCGACAGCAATATAATTACGCGCGAGCGATAAGGATAGGTAGCTTGGGGTCATTGGACAAAATTCTACGTGCTCAACGACCAGACTTTAGTATGCAATAAAGTATATCTATCTTACCCCTTCATCAATGGCGGCCATAGCAAAGATGGTAGAAGGCGATATTTCGGAATCGTTGTTGCGAAGCGCCTTCTCCAGATTCTCGCTGGTGTCATGCACTCCGTCGCGGACATCGCAGAACCTGCAATATATGTAGTTCATCATTATCATCATTAGGTCTTCAGTCTTCACTGAAGGAGCACGACATAGGTAGGTACAGTGGTTATTAAATGTCGGGTTTAGAGTCGCTTTTTAAACGAAATTATAAACAACTTGAAAAAATCTGCCTAAGGCGGGAATCGAACCCACGGAGTTTCACTTACCGGGCGACTGCTCTTAAATTGAGCTACTTAGACACTGGATGAACCAGTCGAAATTTTTGTAGCTGGCTTTTGCGGCCAGCCTTCAGCGTTGTGGGTTCGTTGTCGATTTCTATTTTTTTCATGTTATTTATATTAATAGGTACAGTGACAGCTCTGTTACATCAAAGAAACAAAACCCATCGTATCCCCATCAAGTTTTTTTTTCGCGACATGTTTCAATTTATGCCTACCAAAATTTATCAAAATTGGTTATCAAAGTTGGAAAAGTAACAGAAAGGCAGACTTAACTATCGCATTCATGAATAGTATAAAACATCATCATCATCACTATCTCAAGTAATAAATTCTCATGTAAATCCCATAGCAAAGATTATAATCTTGTTAAAACCGCGGAATACCTACTTCTCATTTGTTACCGGCCGTCTACATTTACACGACATTAAACGCCAATAAGAATCAGATTATTCAAATTAGGAACGTGTCGAACTACTGATAACGTCGCAGGCGCACGTAACGGTCATTGGATCACGCCAGGTGCAATGACCTCATGACGTCAGAGCCGAGTTGCCGAAAACTGGCTGACGCACGTCTGGCCTGAAGGCTGACTCAGCGCTCGGAAACAGGTATGGTATAAGTATCGATGTACACTGAAATCTTATGTGCCTGCATTAAGGGCGATATTGCAACGAATGTATAATCTGATGCTGTCAATCTGTAGGTACCTGCATGGCGACAGCAAGGTATCCTTATCACTACATAGTATAAAACAAAGTCGCTTTCCGCTGTCTGTCCCTATGTATGCTTAGATCTTTAAAACTACGCAACGGATATTGATGCGTTTTTTTTAAATAGATCTTAAGAGTGATTCAAGAGGATTATTCACAGATATATATGTACACTTAGCACCCGAGCGAAGCCGGGGCGGGTCGCTAGTCATTCATGTTGTAACAAACAGAAATTTTTACCAAATCCTACTAAATTCTGATTCCCCAGCCCAATCCAATGACCCAGTCTTAGTTATCTCCGTATCACTAAAGTAAAAGTAAAGAACAACTCGCCTATTATATTTCATTTTTATTGCACGAGAGGTGATGTACAAACGGCAGACTTAATGCCGGGAGGCATTCTCTGCCAGTTAACCACAGGTCATGCAGAGAAAGTAAAGCGATACAAAAGTATAGATTTGTAAAAAGTAAAGCTTTGTATTTTGCCAAACAGATATTCACCTTTCAGTGTTCGCTGTCCACAGCACGATGACCTTGTCCAGCTTCTGCCGGTCTCTGAAGTCCTTGATATCAGCTCTCAGTTGGAGATACTGCTCGTGCTTGGTGCCTCGGATGAGGTTGGTGGCCCGATCCGCCTGGAGGAAAGGTTTTATTTGAAACAAATGTTCTTGGACATTTTGTCATCCAGTTCCAATGTAAGCAAGGCTTGTAGAATATGCACTTCGCAAAATGAGCAATATTTTATAAACAAACTCTTCAGCTGACAACAGACCACGTCTGTGTCTTCAGCCTTTAAATTAGGATAGAAAAGGGCGCATTTTGCGAAGTGCACATTCTGCGTCAAACCCGTTTGTATATTGTGGACAATGGACAAATATGTATTGGAAAACAATACTCGATAGGTACTTTATTTTTTTCTTAGTTATATCCTGTAATTGATCTAATCTGATTAGATGACAATCTAACATAATTATGTATGTAAGTACCTAAGTATTTTACACGCAATATAATCGATCGCGTATAAATCCGCGATTCACTTAAGCTTATGCTTATCATCTTGTTATTCATTAGGCATGGGCACTCTGCCCAAGGTCTCCGCTATAGAGGGGAATCCCCTATCTGCTCCCAAAAAAAAATGGCGCAAGTTCACTATGCAACAAATTTCCCGAGATGTAATAGTGTGAACACCATCTCGGTTGCTTTCCCCTTCTCCTACCCGTGATTCGCCCATACTTTGGTGTGCGATTTAACGGGTTGTCAATTTTCCGCATAGTGTAGTTGCGCTTAACAGTTACCTATGACTTCTTACTACCAGTTGTAGTTGTACGTAATCACTTATAGTAGGTATATCAGTACGATGCCCCTAGGTCAGGGGTGGCCAACATGATTAGACATAAAATCTACTGTTTACTTACGAAACCCTGGGCGATCTAGCACTTACATACTTCTTGAAATCTTAAATGAAACAGCATAGTTTAGTACACAATCATGTAGTATTTTTTGCCTTGCCACGATCGACTGGACCGGTTGGCCACCCCTGCCCTAGGTCTTTTAATGCTCAGGACCCCCAGGATAAAGATGGCCCGAATTGTCCCATGACCTAGTTGTCCCTTTCAGGACCCAACTCTATTTATTAGGTCCGCTTGGGCACGCACTTTATCTCTACGTAAAGTGTCCAATCATAATGGATTAATGGATTGGCAACGGCTATTAATAGGTGGCCAATTGACGTAGCAGGAAAACGAGGCTATAAATAATACTTAAACTGACGTCATAGCGGTTTTGACAGGTAATCTTTCCATACATAAATCAGTCTGGTTAAACTTACAATTACCGTTTATAACTCAAAAACGGCTGTACCGATTTTGACAATCTTCAAATTGTTGAATTCGTCTCTTCCACGAATGGCAGAATACTATTAAAATATCTGAACGAATCAAGGAAAACTATATTTTTTATTTAAAATGATCAATGAAAATATTCATTATTTAGTAGATAATGAGTCTACTACATACATTCATTCATTAACTGTTATTTAAAAGGCACGAATTTCGTGGGATCAACTCTGTTATTCATAACAATAAGATTCATATAAATCAGCTTCCAGTTTTGTTGTACCTAAAAATTAGATCCTACTTTCACAACAGTTGCGCGAAATCTGGCAGTACCAACATAAGGGTATTTTTAGATTGCTAAAAAAACTCTAAAAGTCGGCTGAACTCTTTTTTCCAGAAAACTTCAGGAAAGAAACCGCGACGGGAAAAACAAAAGCACACGTGGAATCCGACGCGTCCACCTGACGCGTATTTTCTAAACACGGTGGAAAAATGAGACCCACCGGCCATAGACAATGGCTGAGTTTGTAAACACGCCGCATTGTTCCTTCCACGTGGACTGGACATGGCCGTGACACGTGTAGGGAAAAACGGTAGACATTGAGTCATTTTCATCAATATTATGGAAGCCTAGGAAATCATAGACAATAGGAAACCAGACACTATCCACAATAATTCATTGAAAAACATAACCCTCCTTCTGGCGCAGTCGGGTAAAAATACGCTTAAAACGATATTATTTAATCCAGAATACTCGACGAACGCGCGTTAGTTCGTATCGATTACATTGAAACATAAATATAATGAACAGATGCTACCGTATTGTGGGTACCAAGAATCAATACCCAACATAACAAACTTTAGTAACGTGATACTGTTGGTAACAATTTAGACGAGCTGGTAAAGGTACTCGTTGTAGGTACAGTCGCGACAAACAGTTCGTGACACCTAAAGCCCAGCCAATAAGTTCGCAACACGTCTTTGTTACAATTGGAATAAGGTTTTGACGCTGACTGTACCTAGTTCCGGAGGGATCCTTTTCAATTCTAACAATAAGCAAGATACAGATGAAGAGGGTGTACCTACAGTCAGAATACTGTTGAAGAATCAATAACACACAATAACTAAAGAACTGTCTTTTATATTAAGCCTTAAACGGATTCAAGATTATTTACAACAGTAAAATAAACACAAATTAAAATTTACAAAAATATAGAGTAACTTTTGAGCATAGTTTTAACTTTATAGCCTAGAAGAAGACGATACACGAAGCTTAAAACAAAAGGCAGTGTTTTAAGTATTTCAAAAGATCAGACTATTAGGCGGTCATCACACTGCGCCGCGCTCCGCCGCGCGGAGCGCGGGACGACAGATTTAATCATTGTATGCAAGTACCTCAGTTTGTATAGAAAACACGCGCGGCACTTCACACTGACAACGCGTCCGCGCGCGTGATTTTTTATATGAAAATCACGCGCTCCGCGGCGGAGCGCGGCACAGTGTTATAACCGCCTTATTCATAATATTGTCTAAATGAAATGAAATGAAATTGTGAATGTGAATTTAGGTAAACAATAGCAGATACATGGCTTAAAAATATGGCAAATTATGTATACAAATATTATTACATTTAGATTAGAAATTATTTCTATATTGTAACTAAACATGTACGATTTTGTATCAAAAAGTCGTTCGATCCTATCGCCACTATCGTATGCATTTTATCAATGTATTTCAACTAGCCCATAAACCCACCGATTATTCGGGAGCAATTCCATAAGTGTACCTTACATTACGTAAGGCCATAGCGTGCTAGTCCACGTGACGAGGCCGTGCTGATCTATTTTAAACTCTATATTTATTATGGAAAAGTTCTAGATCGATGTCTAGGCGAAGGCTGACGCATTTGTTGATTCGCTGAATTTCAGAACGCACAAATTGGATAGTGTTTTTTCTGGTCATAGCAAAAAATATGCAGCTGCAAAAACATTTTAGTCACCATCGCGACATCGGGTCAAGTGGTACAAAATTAAAGTGTTTTTCCATCATTTAAAAGATCGTTCGGGGCAAGTGCCTTCGTTAATGTTCTGGAAGGAATGCAATTCCACTTGTTCTCCATAAAAGCACAAGGCATATCTATATATATAAAAATGAAACCCGTTTTCCGTTGTCACGACATAACATGAAAACGGCTTGACCGATTTGGCTGATTTTTTTTTGTAGGTTTCTAATACTCTGTACAAGGTTTTTACGGAAAAAAATATAAAGAAAATCTCTACGCTAAGGCGGTACGAAGTTCGCCGGGTCAGCTATTAACCATAACCATCAAGCCGATATATTTATTTTGTACAAAACAGCCTATAAGTATGTAGTTACGTAGATATCAGCCTACCTACATTAAGCTACTTTTTCGACGCGAACTCTACAGCTTTATTTGCATTGGCAGAGATCCATCATTAGGAAAATCAAAGATTAAAGACACCAAATAAGGACACTGAACTCCTATTTTGTGACTGAACTGTAGGTTACATCTGAATATCTGATCTACTATAAACCATAACAAGCTAGGTAAGTACCTAACTTTATTGTAGTTATGTGCTACATACAAAAAGCTGAACAAATGATCTTTTTGACCAATAAAACCACGGAAGAAACTAAAATATAGGTAACTAGCTTTTGCCCGCGGCTTCACGTGAAATTTCGTTTGCCACAGATCGTAAAAAATTATAGCCTATATGATAACCCAGAGGGGTTATAAACAATAACACTGTCAAGTTTCGTCGAAATCCCTTCAGTAGTTTTTGCGTAACGAACGAACGAAAAAGTAACAAACATGTTGACATCCAGACATCCATACAAACTTTCGCATTTATAATATTAGTAGGATGGATAGGATGTCTAAAGACATATACACTTCATACAACACTACATAATACTGACCGCTAATTACTTAATTCAATTAAGAACTCAGCTCGATCGCAACCGATGATCATGTTACTTGGAGTAGGATGTTGGAATGTAGGAAGTAAACAGTTAAGTACTTCAATGAATGCATACTAGGCTATTCATAATAACTAGCTTTTCGCATACTATAAATCCTTGTTATTCATAGGCGGTTATATGTAGGCGATTATAATTAAACGGTATTGTAAATAACTACATGCTGAGGTAGAAAGTGCTAGGGATCTACTTCATCACAAAACGATAAAGGCATTAGACAAAGTAATTATTTAGAAGCGACAGTGGGCTGTATAAGTCGATATAAGTAATAGGCGAAAACAAGTCTAGAGTAAGAGGACAAGAACACCAAATTCAAACGAACATCAAGTTTGAAAATCTAGAAAAAATATAGGATCAATAAGACCACATTGTACCACACTATCTCAGTGAATAAATAATCTTTGAATAAAAATACAAAAACATCTCATAACTGTTAATGGATAACGTAGCAACAGGCTGCACGAAATAAGAGCGCGCAGCAAGTCTCCCATGCGCTGGACCGATCAGGTCAAAACCGCACTCAAGGGTCCACTCCACGAGTGCACAAGAAAGGCTGCAATGCGGGAGGAATGGCGACGGATTGTGAAGCTTGCCGCCAAACCAGGTGTGACGACCACGACCACTCTGCCAAGAGTGTAGCGACGAAGAAGAAGCAACAGGCTGTCGTCATACAACTTGTAGGTTGGAGTCTACTAGACACTGTTTTGTTTATGTATTTGGTTATGTAAATGACTGTAACCTGTATGTGTACTTATTGAATAAAATGATGAGGTAATCATCTCGCTTTGTATGAGTGATAGCCTAGAAACATTCGAAACATTGTTTCAGATTGCGCTTCCAACAGTGGCAGTGGCGTAACTATACCATCTGAGGCCCGTGGCAAATTCTACGGTTTTTTTCAGGGGGGCCCCGGGACCATCTTCCTGAAGCAGCGCGAGGGGGGGTGCGATTAGGGACTTGGGCCGGGGCCCCCTCGGGTCGGGGACCTGTGGCATTTTGCCAGCATTGCCACCCTATAGTTACGCCACTGGGTACCAGCTAACTAGTTGACGATATTACATCACATATACATATAGAACTTACTTGGTTAGCAGCGATGAAGTCCGGGTCATATATGGCTGGGCGGGGCTTCATGGCAGCCATTTCCTTCTTGAGCTTCTGCTGGAGGTCGTGGTCGATCACCTTGGCTCGCACCATGGATTCCGCCAGGTTGAGAGGACTGATGTCCCACCCGTCGATCACTATTGGGAGATATCAGGATACGTAATTATTAATTTGGTACTTGATTGGTACGGACGACAGCACATCAAAGAACACTTTTATAACAGGGAAAAAAGGCATTTAATTGCATACCTACCCTAGGAAGACAGGGTACCTACGTTATGTGGGACTAATGATACAATTACTTTCCGATTGATGAATTAGTTATCGTGCTGTTAAACCATAAGTTTCCTTACGTGATCGAATCAGAAATGAGATCTCGCAGAACATAAAAATCGAGATCTCAAGTGACAGACCGAAACACGCGGTGTGGGCAAGCCTCCCGCTCGGTGGACCGATGATCTAGAAAACCTGGATGCGGGCAGTGCAGGAAGAAAATTCTCCGTCCATCCTCCGTAGAAATCCTTGGGGAAGGCCTTTGTTCGTCGTCGCAGCGGACGTCGTTTAGTTGGAATGACGGCGAACGAATTTATGATCTTTTATGTTACTTACCCAAATCATCCGGATGGATCATAGGAAGGAGTTGGCACATAGGGACGTAGACGTCACTGCCTTTCTCATCAATGCCCAATCGCACGGTAGACGCTTGAGTGATGGATCCAAACCTAAGACGTAAAAGTGCTATTAACCATCTATAATGAGGTTTATGCTATACGACATTAAACTTTATTGCAAGTACAAAAGGCGAACTTAATGCTGTACAGCAACGGCTCTACCAGTTAACCTTTGGGCCAAACAGAGAAAGAAAGTAGGTTTCTCACTGAAAACCTGTTTCAGGCTTCGATTAGTTTTCAGCTTTATTTTTGAACTTGTTATTCAGACAGAAGTCAAGTTGGTTATGTATTTACTTACAGGTCTAATAACTTTTAGATTCATGGCCAAGTGTTTTCGGAAGCTGAAGTGAGCATGCATGGCTCAAATTTATTCTCTGAAACGCTGCTTAAGTATGAATTCGAAATATCGGCCTTTGGTTGGGACTTTGGGAGATCCGCACCGCACATCGAATGCAGTGCGACGCGAAGCAGCGATCTGATATGAAGCACTACACACGCGATATCTAGGTATCGCCTGGAAACCGCGCTGCGTTCAGTTTGTGGAGCTCTATTTGTATAGTTTTATGAGATTAAAAAACGTAATTTCAGATTTTGCTAAGACAAAGATTAGTGTTGATTAGGTGAAGGGCGATGGAGCGGGCTATGCTCGGAGTTTCCCTGCGTGATCGAATCAGAAATGAGGAGATCCGCAGGAGAACCAAAGTAACCGACATAGCTCGCAGAATTGCTAAAATCAAGTGGCAGTGGGCGGGACACATAGCTCGTAGAGACGATGGCCGTTGGGGCAGGAAAGTTCTCGAGTGGCGACCACGGGCTGGAAGACGTAGCGTGGGCAGGCCTCCTACTAGGTGGACCGACGATCTGGTAAAGGTCGCGGGAAGAGCCTGGATGCGGGCAGCGCAGGACCGTTCATTGTGGAAAACCTTGGGGGAGGCCTTTGTCCAGCAGTGGACGTCATTTGGCTGAAAAGAAAGGTGATTTGATTATTCTGCAATCCCAAGTGCGATAGAGCCAGCATTATGGTGTGAGCGCAAAAAGTCGCGCCCTTTTTTTTTATTTTTTCTAGAGGATTTAATAAAAGTGATTTTAAGATTTTTAAATTAGACAATAGTGTCAGTGTCGAACTGGCAGAATCAAGTTCCAAGATATGCGGGTTCGAATACCGCCGCCGCTGGACTATTGTTTAGAGTTAACTTTTAAAAATAATATTAATTCAGTGAAAGACAATACGGCCCATAAATCATTTCTAGTTATTTCTGTAAAAACCACTTTCAGGAATTTAATTTACTTATTTTATATGAAGCCGTTTTCACCATCAATCCTTAATTTTTAAGTGACCTTTATAGTAACACATAACAGGATATTTTTTTCAAAGGTGTCACTTAAAAATTAGGGATTGATGGTGAAAACAGGCATTATTTTCTTACCAATTTGAGTCCATAGTCCCATTCTTAGTGTTCCATGACAGCTGATGACGGTTAGCCAGCACAGCAGCTGTGAAGGTGGATCCGTTGTTACCGCCCCATCCGACGAGCATGACACCCACTTTGCCCACTTTCTTCGCAGTGCGGAGGCACAGTGACTTACGGTATGGCTTGGCCTAAAAACAAATAAAAATTAGTCACATTCTCATTCGTGAAATTGACTTTAAAGCAGAAAGTTAGGCAAAAATGTGAATAGAATATTGAAATTCAGGATTTAAATAAATTGGAAGTTTCCAAGGTATTTCAAAATGTACACCATCGAATAAAGATAGTATGAAAATAAATTTCAGAAATTTTCTTCATTATTTCAGCGCGAAATACATAAACTTTTAAAAAAATTAATGAAGGTAACATGAAAAAGCTTCTACAGACTTGCCTTGTGTTCATTTTATAAATTATACAGACATACTTTGCTAGATTTCTGGAGCATATCTATCAGAATATAAATAGTAAACAGAGAAACTTGTGGAAAGTTCCACAACATTCCTGAAGAACTAAAAAGAGGGTGAGTATCGATTGATCGGCGGCAACCTGTCGCGGGGGGAAACAAAAACTAAAGCACTATAAAACCTAACCAGAACATACCACGTATTCATTGCCGGTTTTGGTCACCAGAGTTTCCTCATACACATAATCTGAATAAATATAATCATCAGTATATTTCACGTTGGGGCTCGAAACCACTAAACTCGTATTCTTTTCCATGATAAACGATATGAGCTTAACAAATAATTAACAAGAAATAATTTTGAGAAGAATAGTTAATCATACACCTCGAAACAACGCTCTTTTACGGTAGAATTTTTAAAAGATCGAATAATTTCAATATTTTTATTTAAGCGCAAGAGCTCTACCCTTCACAACGATCGAGAACTTACTGACAATGACATTGACAGAACATTTGCTCGAAATGACGTGAATGAATGGAACCGAATGAAATGATTGAACGAATGATTTGTCTTTGGTCCTTCAACTCTTTAGTCTATGCTACTATCAAAACAATGGATCGGTTCATGCAAAACTGACCACGATATCAAGTGACTGAAGTAGTAATATCACGTGATATTTTAAGGGGAATACACAATAGCTATAAAAGTACTTAACAAATGTTAGTCAATTTTATATATTAAATTATAAAAATATAACCCTTTCTTCGCTAAAATTAATTAAAAAAATTAAATGCTTATAAATTAATCTTTAAAAAAATCATTTAACTACTTTAAAACTTTACGATCCATTGTGATGAATTAAATATTTAAAGATTTTTTTTAAATAAATGCTTCAGGATAAATAAATATATATTTTGTAGAAACAGTAGGTATAGTACATACTACATTATACCAAATGGTTATACTTAGTTATGTTTATTTAAGTTTCAAAATTTAATAAAATATACATGTTTCAACTCTCATGTAACCGCTCATGCGCCCTTCTTTCCTTCCAGTCGTCATAAATAATACAACTATCCACACAATATAGGTACACTCAACATCTACTATGTGTATTAGCACTTTGTAGTTAGTAAAACAAAGTACCTCCTCCTACCACCTATAAGTACTACATGCCGCTTGCGTCTAGCTAGGTTTGTGAAGGAAGGAATCTTGTAAAAAAACAACCTATCCCTTTTCCTTTGTGTGTGTAGGTGGAAGTGTATGTTTGAGAGCATGATGCACTACAAAAACACAGATTGAAGCATTCGTCTTCGTCTTTTTAAGTACCTACGCGGTTAATGTACCCTTAGGTTTTTTTGTAAACATTCTTTTTCGAAGAAAATATTCTTACTTTTAAAGATTTATTAGAGTAGATACAGAATATTGTTAAAGTTAATTTATTTTAAAAGTTAATTAATAATTGCCAGAATGGGTACTTAGTTTGCTGAAGTCATAAGAAATGGTAGGTATCAACTACATAAAGTAAATTATTTCTCCGAAACTACTTGCATTTATAAAACATGTACATAAATCAAAATACAAGCATAATTAGAATAATGTAGAACCGTTCCTGCTTGGAATGTATGTGCTCTGTCTATAATACAATAAAGTTGTATATTAATTACGGTATAATAAAGCATGCGGGGGGCGAGGGGGCGCGGCGCGCTCTCATATTCCGTATATTGATTGTGTGCGAGGGGGCCGGGGCAAGGAGGGGGCCACGGCGTGCCCCACTCTGTTTTTTACGACACGGCTTTCTGTGTAACATAATTATTGTATTTAATTTTGTGAAATGTTTCGGTGTTTTACGTGAAAAATCGGGAAGTAGGAAAAGTGAATTCGAGGTAAGAAAGTTGCACCGGTGTGATATAAAATCAAAATACTTCGTTGCCGAATAAAATAATATAAAATTTTATACATCTAAATTCCGTCAGCGGCACGTACCTACAGTATATTACACTGTCATACCGCGTACGTATAGTGTTTTTTACGGGCATCGTTCTAAAAATAAGTTGTAATAATTATAATTTTATGTAGCGGTCGCAGTTGAGTCGGTTTTCTGTCGATTATTCAGCAGATGTGATAGAGTGATTTGTGTGTGATAAGTGTTTGTGGTGGTCCAGATGCAGGGGTTGGTGAGCGACAAGACGTTCCACTTGAAGTGGAACAACCACCTGCAGAACTTGAGCCAGCTGTTCACGACCATCTACTCGTCGTCGGCGCTGGCCGACGTGACGCTCTCCTGCCGGGACGGCACCCTCAAAGCTCACAAGCTCGTGCTCTCAGCATGCAGCCCTTACTTCGAACAAATATTCAGGTACATCACTCGCATTCTTTATTCAAATTAAAAAAATCGATTTATTCCCCTTGGTTTTTTACACTCCAATTTACGAATTGAGTTTCATTAGTTCTAAATGACATCATTATTTTTTTACGTGGAGTTATTTTTAAATTGTGTGTGAGTACTTTGTGTACAGCCAACTGCAAAACCAGCAGATCTATTTTGGCTCTTGGAAAATTATCATAGAATATTATGTTACCATTTTATTCAATCTTTATTATTACTGCCTGACTTTGGGTGCTTTGGGTTTAATTTGTACTTTATCTATATGATAACAGAAAAATAACTATTTATAATGAAAAGATAATTTATTATTTAAATTACTATGGTTCACTGATAAAATTCTTACAAATAAGTGTACCTACTTACTTAAGTACATAGTTATCTGAGATTCATTGTAGATATTTTTTATCGTAGGGACAATCCCTGTCAACACCCCATCGTCATCTTGAAGGGGATCCCATTCTCGGAGATCAATCTTCTGGTGGAGTTCATGTACAAGGGGTCGGTAGACGTGCAGGAGTTGGATCTCCAGTCTTTGATGCACACAGCATCCGAGCTGGAGATCCGAGGACTAGCGTATGAGGCTCGAGACAACGCTGCCCAGATGTTGAATGTCAATTTGGAGTACCCGACATACCCTCAGACTCAAACCTCGGTGACGGCTACTCCTCAGACGTACCCCCAGTCAAGAACAGATGTGGAGAGGCTGAAACAGGTGAGTGATTGTAGCTTAGTAAATATTTGAGTTTTGAACGTAAATCTTTGAGTATTCTTCTTTTAAAAGATCTCGTAATTCTTGTGAACTGAAATAAATAGCAAATTTTCCTTATCATTCATATTTTGCACACCTTATTCATCATTTAGTGTGACACATCCTATTATTACCTATGAGATAAACATATTTGAAAAAAAATCTGTACCGTTATGAAATAGTCTGGCTTGGCACACAAAAGTAGTATTATTATCTATTCTGTCTTAATAATTAGTGATTTGTCTTAATCAATAATTAAGTCGCTTAATGATATTATAGTTGTAACTGATAGATACTCTATTATAATACAGTTGGGTTAAATCCATGCCAAGTTGCTATATAAAATATATTTTACGTAAAGTTTGGCTACAGTTTCATGATTACTGAAACACAGACGCATTTTATTTCCTCATACAACAGACGCAACAAAGTTTACGTTTAGTCAACTGTGGGAAATTCTCAGGTCTGTCTCAAATAAAATATTGTTTTCCATATTTTATTTGAGTATTTGTAATAATTATGAAAACAGGAAATTGCTCTGCTGCACTAGTTTTTTTCCTACCTGTATAGAGGATGACACTTTAAGGTACTTAGGCTGAGTTCCACCACCTAATTTAACCATAACTATAATGACAACTGGTGTTTTTGGTATGGAGTTTCACAGACTTTTGTCGTTTCTCAAAGTTAAAGTAAGATGGTGCAACCCAGCCTTAATGTGACATCTTATAGAGTTGTTATTTTGCAACAAAAGTTTATGCGCTTTTGTCTTTAAATGTATTTTTATATAAATTATAAAAATATTCTTTAATATCAATATTTTTTTAACTGTATTGTATAGTTTCCAAGCTTATTTTACATATTTGATTATATTTTGGATGAAGTTATTAAATTGGGCAAATAAATTTACCCAGGGGCTTGGTACGAGTGGTGTGATATTTTACAAAAGTTTAATTAACATGCATAATATTATTGTACTTTTGCTAGTTTCTATTTTGCTGTGTAATTATATAATCCTTTTGAAATATTTCATATTATATGGAGGTATTTACATAAAAAATATATTAGGCAAAGTTATTTATGCATCTAGATTTCTATATGCATATTATACCATTAGAAAATAATTGTTTGCATGTTCTTCTAATGTAAATAATGCTTTGTAAAACAAAGCAGTAATTTGGCAGCCCAACAGCTAGTTTTTGCACTGCCGATCAATCATATTTCTTCGATTTTCATAGACAAAGCTAAACTGAATTTTATTAAAATTATGTCCTCCCTAACACCTTTTTTTCTTGCTATTTGAGTACTCTGCTATGTAAATATACTGTGAACAAAAGATAATGTAACAGGCAATGCCTTTTTTCATATCCTTTAGTTGTAGATTAAATTTTTGCCTAGTTCAGCCCTTTTTGCATTAAAATTAAAAATCATTTAGAATGTTTTTATAAAATCAATTTTAACATTATTTTTTAGCCTAACTGCTAGCTGAGTTAATATTTACCTGGATGTTTGGTTACAACACAGTTATAAAATATAATTGATTTCCACTTTCAAAATAAATGTTATAAAATCAATATTAAATAGCAAAACATATTGCCTAGTTCAATCCTTACAAATCGGTTTTGTGAACTCCTACATAGACGTCTACTTTTGGTTCTTTATTGGAATTTAAACCTAATGGTTACTATTATTATAAAGTTCAGTCTTTTAAATGTCTATCGCTTTGTAACGTCATTGCAGTAATTCGTATAATTGGTATAATCGACGTTCTAACGTAATTATTTTAATGCACAAAGTTATAAATGAGCTTTCTCTCAGTTATTGTAAGCTCAGGACAATGACCTATCTCGTTGACCTGATGTGAATTGGAATGGCTACTTGTTTCTATTGTTACTTCTGTTTAAAAGGATGAGGGATATATTTTTGACGGAAATAATTTAAATAAATTATATTAATTTCAATAAATTATTTTAATTTAAAATTTTCTCATTAAAATACTAGGTTTATTTTTTTAATTTTTTTTTATTGGCATAGCTCAATTTATTTTTACGGGTCAATGACATCGTGATTGGTGGCGCGGCCATCCGCCTTGAGCGCAATGTGTCTCAGGTTCGAATCCAGGTACCTACGTCATAACATAAACATATTAACCGCCTCTGTGGTCTAGTGGTAAGACCACCTGCTTCAGATGCAGAGGTCCNCTGACATAGATAGATAGATAATATTCGTATTAACTCAAAATATGACTTTATTTGACTTGATCTTGATCACAATCAGTTTGGAACGCGAGCTGTCCAATTATACAGTCAACTGTACATCAGGCTCTACATTTTTTGTTGCAAATTAGCTCCTATTAGCATAAAATAAGCTGCCACTGTGTTTAGCTTGATTTGCTGTCAATATCATCAATATATTAATGTACAATCGAATTTTAAAATATCACGATCACCTCACTGTGTGACACATTTTGACTCTCGTTAAATTTTTAGTTAGTACAGTTTAATTTTTTAATATGTCATTTTCTAATGAACTACGAAACAATAAAAACAACAAAATTCGAATCTAATTTTTATTTATTTATTTGTTTTACTTTAATAGCAACAGCAGAGCCAATTACAATTAATTAAAGATATATTCATTACTAATACTTAAATTAAACTAGATACACGGTTAATAAATATAATCAATTACAATAAATAAAGCCAAATATTTTCTTAATAATTCACTCGTTTAAAAATAATATATATTATTAGCGATAAGACCGCCTAATTGTACCTTGTGTGTTCCTTTTCTTCTGTTATGTCATTTGTTTGGTGTGCAATAAAGTGTATTTATTATTATTATATGTTTGAATGGTAAAGTTAATTTAAAACGAACATAGAGAACTAACATAATTTATCTACAACATTTTAAGTTATTTCTTATGTTAACTATTTTTATGCTAAGTAGGTACGTTATGGTAAATAATATAGATAATGTATCTGTAATCTTTATCTATATAAATAAACAAAGTTAGATAATATTTTGAGTCACAATTTCAACGAATACTTAAATTTTCCTTAACCTCACCGGCCGAGGGGATGTCCTTATGACGTCAATATAAATATGTATTTTATTTACGAAAATGCGGTTAAGTTCTAATGTTTTAACATTATCCTCATTTTGATAATACTAATATCTCGTAAGTAATCGGACTTCCACGAAAAAGATCGAGTTCGGTGACATCGATAAAATTGTTTATTTTAGATGTTATTCAATTGTTTTTGTTAATATAAAAGTATTTTCATGTCAGAAAAACAACTAAACAGCCGAAAATATAATAAGAACTAGCTTTTTCACGCGTCTTCATCTGTGTAGATTTGGATCCATCACAGTATGTCTTTCGCGCGTCCCTCTTTCAAAAACGTTATTCAAAGACCAACCCATAACAAATTGGGGCTTTGTAGTATAAAAAAACTGGTCAGCGGGCTTTTCTTCCACTCTATGTTGAAGGTCTGCTACTTTTTTCTTTGCAGTCAGATTGAACTTTGAGAAGATGAGAGATTATAATTTTTCAAGTTAGTTATAAACATTATTTTGAGAAACAAGTCTGTGTTTTGGTATATTAAGATTTTACGAACATTTTTACGATTGCGGGATGAATAAGGCCCAGTTTCCACGAAAACAGAGAGAAGAGATGTGTTTAAATGTCAATTTCTTTATTTCCACATCTATCCTTTCCGCTTTGGTGGAAAACGGACCTTAGACTTCAGTAGCAAAGCTACTTTACGTAGGTACGTATAAGCAAAGAAAATAAATGTACGTCAGTAAATAATCATTTTGCTGACAAGGACAATCAAAATTAGCGTTTATTCATTTGATAATAGGCTATTTACTAAATTGCATTTGTAAATGCAATACGTATGTGCATAAAAGTGGCAGGAAACTGTCAACACTTGGCCGCAGTAATAAGTACAGTTGCGAACATAATTTAATATACAAAACCGGTTTCTAATCTATCTATATATATAAAAGAAAGTCGTGTTAGTTACTTCGCTTATAACTCAAGAACGGCTGAACCGATTTAGCTGAAAATTGTCAGGGAGGTAGTTTATAGCCAGGAGAAGGACATAGGATACTTTTTATCCCGTTCGAAATAAAAAAAGTCTGCTTATTTATTGCCATTAGGGCGGAACAAAGTTCGCCGGGTCAGCTAGTAGAATATAAATTAACGGTTTGTTAACATTTTCAACGGATGTAAAAGCCTAATGAGACCCGTGTCAGCATCGCTTAACAATGCGCTGACATGCTGTACTGCTGTTAATTCGATGTCGCGGTTACTTGCCGTTGATAAGTTACTCATCTCGTAGCACGATTAGTTATTATGGGCTGGTGGAATAAAATCAATATCCTTCGCATTTTACACGACGTCATCTAGTACCAAACTAGGCAAAGCTTGTACGAGTACTTATTTAAATATTAAATGTTGTAAATACTAATGTGTAAGTAATAAGTTTTTGATGAGGAAAATAGTCAATTCCAACAAAACAAATCACTGTTGTTACTTCTTCACGTCTAAACGGCTGGATTTTATAAAATTTGGTATGGAGTTAGCTAGCATATTATTACAATAGGCTACGTTTTACTTCGGGTAACACCGCGGGGCACAATTAGTATGGTTATATATACAAATGTTTGTTATTGTAATTATGAGGATCGAACCGCCGACCGTAGCAGAGTTCGCAACCACTGAGCTAAATCTGTTCCTAAAGAGATTTTCTTTTGTCTTTAGCTCTTTCGTTTTCTACATTAGGTTTGGAAAAGTTTTCCTTTACTAGAAATAAAATTAGGTCATATAATGTTACTGATTCACGAGCACAGCTTCGTTTCCTCAAGATCGCCCGGTTCATTTTTAACTACTGTAATAAAATCGTCCCCAATTTTGTATTAATTAAAACCAAAATTACTTTCATGAACTTCAAATATAATCTGAGCTCTTACACGTGTCTCTCGGTCCATTTTATTTTTGGTACAAAATCAGGCGTTTATTTGAAAGAGACTGTACAATATTATTTTTCGAGAAGTATGTAGCATTATTTGCCTATTATAATAAACTAGCGGTGCCCGCGACTTTGTACGCGTACGCGTAAAAATAGTTTTGAATAATATTTCCCGTTTTTGCAACATTTTTCTTTACTACTCCGCCTCTATTGGCTGTAGGGTGATATTATTAACCTTAACCCTTCCTCGATAAATGGGCTATCCAACACAAAATCATTTTTTCAAATCGGACGGATAGTTCCTGAGATTAGCGCGTTCAATCAAAAAGCAAACAAACACATTCTTCTGCTTTATAATATTAGAGATGACTGTACAATATTATTCTCCGTGACGTATGTATTATTTGCCTATAAAATAAATGTTGTATTGATAAGTTTGTAAACCGGATAGACAAATCTCAACACTTTGATATTTACATAATATCAGTTAAATTTCGTGAAACTTAACTTGTTTTTGGACGTGTTTTGTTAAAATTTAACACTAGGTTCTATAACAGTCATAAATAAATAAAACATTCCTCAATAGCAGCAATAAACATTTATTCATCAACAATTAACAAAAATAATATGGAAAATATACATAGTTTTAATAAATATTAGCACTAAAATGAAATAAACAACCAAGAAAAATTGATACAACTGACAAATATTGTGCAAATGTTTTTAAATTAATAGAGTTTAGTATACTTATATTTATGTTACATCGCACCGTTGCGTAGTATCTACAAAGCAGGCCCGTATTATGAATCCAACTTTGTTTAAAACTCAAGCATAATTTAAAACTCATTCTTGGATCTTTAAGACTGTGCCATCCAGTCTTAAACTAAGCAAAGCATGTACTATGATGGGTCCAGACAAAGAATATAAATATGCGTATTGTTTGGAAGCACCTTTATACAAAAACCAAGAGAGATAAAATGATCCATGATTGTGAATGGTTGAATATGGATACAAGCGCAATTTTTTGAAGAAAATATCGTTCTAAACCGAAGAGAAATAAAATACACCAATCATAACACAGAATTGAGTTTAAACAGTTTTCTGAATCTTTAAATACGGGCCGCAGCGTCTTAACGCAGTAACCAATGCCCCGGATACGTAATATAAACAATCTAAACACACGCATCGCGGCACTGCGCTCGGATGCATTTATTTAATTTTCATATTTAAACAGACATGCATAGAAATGCATATAGTCCAGTCATTACGTACATTCAAAAAAGAAAATGAATTTGCGCTTCTAATTTTTTAATATGTTGTAGGGGATACCTAGAAAAGCTTAACTTGAGATTGTCGACCAAGCTTTCCTAGGAGCTTTCGCCGCCATGTTGAAAAAAGGGGTAAAATTTGTTTTTCGGCAATAACTCGGCTATCCGATGAGACTCGAAAATTTTTGTAGGACACTTTTTGTAGCTTTCTTTGTGCTCTACAATAACGCCCGAACCATTTTTAGCGTATCATGCATCGTTATCGAGATATCGATCGATAAAGTCAAAAATTTTGGACACAAATTATTTCGGAATAATTAAATAATTAACGTCAGATACGTACAACATAACTTCGAAGGAAAGGTTGCAATCATATTCGACGGTTATCCGACTGATATGACACTCGCTGGAACGAAAACTTCGGAAAGAGTACGACGTTCGAGAAAAAACCAATCGCCGGAGTTCACATTCGATGAGACAACTACTCCAAAAGTTAGCCAGGAGAAGTTTCTCACAAGGGATCAAAACAAGAACCAACTAATACAAATGCTTTGCCGTTACTTAAAAAAAAGTAATTAAAAAGTAATTAAAAGTAATTAAATTTTACTTTTTACTTTTTAATTAATTATTTAATTATTTCGGAATTTTTCATATTTATTAAGACCCAAAGAAAAAAAAAGAAAAAAACAAAAATTGTGTCCAAAATTTTTGACTTTATCGATCGATATCTCGATAACGATGCATGATACGCTAAAAATGGTTCGGGCGTTATTGTAGAGCACAAAGAAAGCTACAAAAAGTGTCCTACAAAAATTTTCGAATCTCATCGGATAGCCGAGTTATTGCCGAAAAACAAATTTTAAGCGTTTTCCAAGATGGCGGCGAAAGCTCCTAGGAAAGCTTGGTCGACAATCTCAAGTTAAGCTTTTCTAGGTATCCCCTACAACATATTAAAAAATTAGAAGCGCAAATTCATTTTCTTTTATTTGCCTTTTTTTCGGACGAAATGACTGGACTAATAGCACGTTTCATCATTTGAGAACTCGCGAGTTAGTAACGCAAGTTGTGGCCAAAAAAGATGGGCGATCGTAAGATTTTTACTAGATTTTCGTCAATACATTTTTGACGAAAATCTCGTCACAATATCTTACGATATTTGGGCTAACTCCTCCTAACCTAGCAACCATAAACGAAGGTTTGAATGTCTCTATCCCTCTCACGTAAAGAGAGATGAAAGCATAAGCGAAATTGATAGGTTTATGTTAAAAATATACATAACTAGCAATAGTTCACTTTGCAGGTATTAAAATAATCAAATATTATCGCATGGGATAGGTAAATATTTAAATTACAAGATAATATTAAATACAGATAACTTTGACTGTAAAAAAAATATAATAATATGCCACGATAAAAGTTATTTTTTCCGTTGTAAGTACCTACATTAATATTATTATCATGATAGCAAGAATGCGATGAAGAATGCCCGTCATGTTTCAGGCCATTATTGTTCAAATTGTTTATTATATGTCGTGTGTAAATAAGCCTCAGGTGCTTCTAATACATATTTTATATCATACGCATATACGCATTAACATATCGCAGATGCGCGAATATCGGTACCGTAATACCGTTTAAAAAAATCAAGGCTAGGTCTACACATTACCAAATACATACTTAGACAATATTTTTGATACTTTTGCCTTGTCATCCGTATATCATTTTCTTTTCACAACGAGTATACATACACCACTGAATTGATGAATAGACGATCCTAGGTCTTCAATAATATTCTAAGTTCTTTGAATATTAAAATTACCGAACAGGATTAATCACTAGAAAAGAGTGCCATATGGCAATATATTCTGCTTATGTACCCTGTTTAATGTGCAAATAAGTTAAACAACAGTTCCAAGAATTATAGAGGTTTCTCCCTAGACCCCACACTTATTCTCATCATCTTCACCATAGCAACAGCTTCAAATGTCCCATCTTTCCCTAGATCCACATGTACCAACAATCCATGATGCGCGCTGAAGAAATTCGGCGCCGGCGCCGCGAAGACAACCCTGGTACCCACACCGCCGTCAACAATATCCTGGCAGCGGCTGCTAGGGAGATGGAGGAAGCCAGGCATGCAGCTAGAGCTGGGGAGAGAGTAGTGGCCAGCATTCAGACTGAACAGGAGCAAGGTGAGAATAGATCTTAGGTATACCTTAACAGCGTCCAAAATTCCTGGCAGCTTTGCTTGAGGTGGAGGAGAAATCAATCAGTTACATCAGATGCCCTGGCAGTCTCTCCATTGAGAGACTGCCAGGGCATCTGATGTAAAGATCAAAGAGTGAACAGAGCTGGAAGATTGACGGCGTAGCTGGAAAATGTTCTCCATCTTGAGAGAGTAAACAGTAGCTAAGCTGATAGAGTGACGTCATAGACAACCCTGGTACCCACACCGCCGTCAACAATATTCTGGCTGCTGCTGCTAGGGAGATGGAGGAAGCCAGGCATGCAGCTAGGGCTGGGGAGAGAGTAGTGGCCAGCATTCAGACAGAACAGGAGAAAGGTGAGAATAGATCTTAGGTATAACTTTACAGCTTCCAAAATTCCCGGCAGCTTTGCTTGAGATGGAGGAGAAATCAATTGCATCAGATACCCTGGCACTCTCCATTCTGGATTGAGAGAGTGAACAGAGCTGGAAGATTGACGGCGTAGCTGGAAAGTGTTCTCCATCTTGAGAGAGTAAAGAGTAGTTAAGCTGATAGAGTGACGTCACAGACAACCCTGGTACCTACACCGCCGTAAACACTATTCTGGCAGCGGCTGCTAGGGAGATGGAGGAAGCTAGGCATGCAGCCAGGGCTGGGGAGAGAGTAGTGGCTAGCATCCAGACTGAACAGGAGCAAGGTAAGAATAGATCTTAAGTATAACTTTACAGCGTCCAAAAAATCCTGGCAATTTTGAATCAAACGTTCTTCTGACTTGAGAGAGTGAACCTCTGAAGAATGACGCCGTAGCTGGAGAGAGTGGTATCAATCATCTAGAGAGAGTGAGGAGTAGCTAAGCTGATACTTCAGGAGTGATGTCGAAGACAACTCTGGCACCTACACCACTGTCAATAACACCCAAGAGAGGAGAAGGCCAGGCATATAGCCAGAGATGAGGAAAGAGTGGTAGTCAGCATTCAGTTTGAACAGGAGCAAGGTGAGTGGAAATCCTAGGTATACGTGAGATGAAGAGATCAGATCCACCAGATTACCAAAATTTTGACTTGAGAGTGAACAGGGAAGAATGATGGCGCGTGCCTTGAGCCTTTTCATCATCCAGAGAGTGCATGGAGCAACTCAGCTGTAATTACTGAGAATGTTAAGATTCAAAAAAGATCTATTAAAGTAACAAAATATTATTTACTTCTGCAATTATTTTAAAATGGTTAATAATTCATTATAATGTCCATTCTCGTACCTCACATTGTCCAATGGAACTTTGTTGTTCTATTTTACGACAGGGTATAATTAATAATGATCTCACCATCAGCGATGATTTTAGTATTTAGTTCGCTTTAATTTTCTAAGACAAAAGATAACGTCATGGTGAAGAAATAAACGAATAAATTCGAAACAGAAAATTGGCATCGTTTCTGAGAGATATCCAAATGGTTATTAAAATTAAAGGCATTTCTGTTTATTATTTGAAAATAGATTATTGCCTGTCTGACTCCATCAAATATTTTACGATTTTTAGATTTATTTATTGCCGACGCGATGTTGCCATACCATTGTTTACAGTACCGGTTGTATTTTTGACTTTGAAAATGCTTTGAAAATAATATGAATATGATACACTGAAACAATTTAGGCTTGCAGTCTGCGCCGGTAAACTCCAGCTGTTTGTTTTATGATTTTAAAAATCGACAAAAGATTAGAGATTCAACATTATTTAGCTTTGAAATCGACGAGGATTGTTCCAAGCTCTGCTATTGTCTTAAAGAGTTGCTGCACTAGATTATAAGTCTCTTTCTAGTTTCCATTATGTTAGAAATAGCCAAAATTCATCGTAAATGTCCTCTATAGCTGCTTCAGCGGCGGCCGCGGCATCATCGACGTCCAACGACATCAAGTGTGACCCCGACGAAGACCGCCCCAAGAAGCGCGTCTCCATCATGTCTCCCGAGGATGATAAGCTGCAGTATTGTCTTAAAGAGTGGCTGTATTAAATTATCAAGTCTCTCTCTAGTCTGTCATGTTAGGAAAATCAGAAAATGAAGTCCCCGAGCCCCATTATAACTCTAGTGGTGCGTCCACACTGGGCGAATATGCCCGCGCGGCAAACTCGACATCCTGCTCACCCTGCTCTTGAGTGAGCAAGATGTCGAGTTTGCCGCGCGAGCATTCGCCCAGTGCGGACGCACCATAAGAATAGCAAAAAATTCAACGAATGTCTTCCCAACAGCCGCTGCAGCGGCGGCCGCGGCATCGTCGACGTCCAACGACATCAAGCGTGACCCCGACGAGGACCGCCCCAAGAAGCGCGTGTCCATCATGTCTTTTTAAGACGACAAGCTACTCTATTATCTTAAAGAGTCGCTGCACATATGTCCCTGTCTAGTCTCGAATATCTTTAGGAAAGCAAAGATTCAATTTAAGTTTCCCCCAACAGCCGCTGCAGCGGCGGCCGCGGCATCGTCGACGTCCAACGACATCAAGCGTGACCCCGATGAAGACCGCCCCAAGAAGCGCGTTTCCATCATGTCTCCCGAGGATGACAAGCTACTCTATTATCTTAAAGAGTTGCTTCACTAAATTAAATTATAAGTCCCTGTCTAGTCTCGAATATCTTTAGGAAAGCAAAGATTCAATTTAAGTTTCCCCCAACAGCCGCTGCAGCAGCGGCCGCGGCGTCATCGACGTCCAACGACATCAAGCGAGACCCCGACGAAGACCGCCCCAAGAAGCGCGTCTTCATCATGTCTCCCGAGGATGATAAGCTGCACTATTCTCTTAAAGAGTCGCTGCACTTATATGCCCCTGTCTAGTCTCGAATATCTTTAGGAAAGCAAACATTCAATTTAAGTTTCCCCCAACAGCCGCTGCAGCGGCGGCCGCGGCATCATCGACGTCCAACGACATCAAGCGTGACCCCGATGAAGACCGCCCCAAGAAGCGCGTTTCCATCATGTCGCCCGAGGACGACAAGCTGCGCGCCAAGAAGAAGATGACCGTGCGCTTCCAAGATGACAGCAAGACTGACGAGCGCCCCAATAAAATCACTTCACCGGGTGAGTTTTGAACTACAAGTAGATTATTTATTTACTTTTTATAAAGTATCTCTTTAACAGGATGTTCTTGGCCTAGATTGATATCTAGGAATGAAATAAGGACTACTGGACATTTTTAAATGGATTTCTGTATTTTGAGCCTAGCCTTTTCAACTCTAGTTACCATTTTAAGATTTTCGAATGGTTTTTTATTAGCCCATCAAACCCCAAGCGGTCGCATAAGACTGTAACAATTTATTTTTATTGTGTCTCGAATTGTGGGGCATGAAGGTTTAATACAGTGTGAGTCACGTTAAAGTGTACATATGAAAATAGATGAAAGTAGACCTATTTTTATCGACAAAAAAGAGGTCAAAAAATTTTTGAGATTTTTTTAAAATTTTTTATAGAATTTTTTTTCTTCCAATTACTTATTGTAAAGAAAACGTAATAACTTTTAAACTAAGCGGTATATCCTGATAAAATAAAAACAGTAATAATGCTAAATAACAGGCAATACTAAAAAAATACATAAAATACATAAAAAAGGCCAACAAATAATAAAAAATTAAACTTTTTGAAAAAAATCTGCTTTTAAATTCGTGTTTTTTTGGTTATTTGATAAATTTCTCCAAAAAATGCCCCTATAACCGGTGGTTTTTATTACTTTGTATTATTCTCTATCGTATTACCTTCGTAAAACCAAAAATCGCATGTCTCTATCCCTATTACAACATTTGCTATGATCGTTTGAACAAAGGCCTGCCACAACATTATTCTCCGCTACAGGTGGAGACAATTTTAATTTTAACTAAAATGCTTATTTTACTTTGAAATCTTTTGTTTTTATTTGAAATCTAACTTGTCTTTATCAAAATAACAAATCTAGAGCCATTTTCAGTTTCGTTGTTAACGAAGCGTTGAATGGCGCGCCCGGAGAGGCTTAGTTCAAACGATCATTGCAAACGTTGTGATAGGGATAGAGACATACGATTTTTGGTTTTACGAAGGTAATACGATAGAGAATAATACAAAGTAATAAAAACCACCGGTTATAGGGGCATTTTTTGGAGAAATTTATCAAATAACCAAAAAAACACGAATTTTTAAGCAGATTTTTTTCAAAAAGTATCATTTTTTATTATTTGTTGGCATTTTTTGTGTATTTTATGTATTTTTTTAGTATCGCCTGTTATTTAGCATTATTACTGTTTTTATTTTATCAGGATATACCGCTTAGTTTAAAAGTTATTACGTTTTCTTTACAATAAGTAATTGGAAGAAAAAAAATTATATAAAAAAATTAAAAAAAATCTCAAAAATTTTTTGACCTCTTTTTTGTCGATAAAAATAGGTCTAGTTTCATCTATTTTCATATGTACACTTTAACGTGACTCACACTGTATAAATACTTAGGTATTGTATTCGGTAGGAAAAACCGATGGTGATTGCTCTATGAGTTCTAGGACTTCGTGGTACAGTAACGAGGTCACATATCAAGAGGGTCCAAGTAGAGATAAACTTTCAATTTATTTACCTGGAAAAGTTTTATTTATAAAACTTTCTAGCGCTCCTGTTATAGCAGTGGAAACGAGAGGTGGCAATATTACATGTCTGGCTAATAATACAGTCCACACAATAGTAATAATACATTTTAAAAAACAAAATATAACATTTACGGACATGATTTAAAATAAAGCGTGGGCAGGACACGCCATTCAAAAAGATCATTAATAAATATCAAAGTGACTCACTATTACAATCTATATATATAAAAGAAAGTCGTGTTAGTTACTCCACTTATAACTCAAGAACGGCTGAACCGATTTAGCTGAAAATTGTCAGGGAGGTAGTTTAGAGCCAGGAGAAGGACATAGGATACTTTTAATCCCGTTCGAAATAAAAAAAGTCTGCTTATATATTGCCATTAAGGCGGAACAAAGTTCGCCGGGTCAGCTAGTTTACAATAAAAACTTGTTTACTCTTGGGTTTTCCACCGGAAATATTAAAGATAATATATAATATACTTAATTACTTTTTGTTTAATTTCGAAATAAGCACATATCAAAATAATGTGCATAATTACAATAATGGGATGTGCTCTAAAATAATAATGGTGTACATTACAAATAAGACCCTACGTCTTTATAGTTATTTTATTCTTTTAATTTAATTATTTTATGAATCTTTTAAACAAATCATATCCAAAAACCCCTATAAAAATAAATTAATTTGCCTAAAATGTACAAAGCGGTAAAAAATATCATTTTCAAGGTTTGAAATACAAAAATTAATGAAATATGAACAAAGAAACATTTGAGATTTTTTCATTCACGTTAAAACATTTTATATCAAATTACCACCACACTCATTTCGATTTCGCAATAAAAAACTTGAATTATTTGTTTGCAAAAAAATGTAAGAAGTCATTTTGCAAGAGTTGCAAACCTAATGAACACTTAATTTATTAGTTTGCTAAAAATATATTAGTAATGAACATCGTTTTAGTCCAATTTATTTGCTGATTTTGTCATTTTAAAATTCCTTGCACTAACTTTGGGTTTATTATTAATTTTGGGCTGCGCAAGTTTTGAATTATCGTTATCTTTATAAGATGTGTGTCTGTTTATTAAAAATTTCATTCCAACATTATTTTTAGGGATTAATGGGCAAAAATGGATCGGTGTCATCTATTAACTAAATTAAAAGGTAGATGAAGATTGTTGGTAGTAATTTACATTATACTATGGCAGGGTAACTCAAAAATTAAGTTATAAATTAAGAAATACAATTAATCATGAACAGTATCCATATTTAGAGTCTATTTTGATGATTAATACGATGACGAATTATTTCTACGGAACTAATATTTTCATTAGGATATTGTAGATTAGTGACGAATCTAAACGTATGTGACATTAAATAGATTAAATGATGGTGAGGGAACCATTTGCACACGAACACCACTCGCGCTTGACCGTTTTTTAGTCTCTTCTCTCAATACTTGTATGAAGTGACCAAGCCCCTTGATCTTACGTGGAATTATACAGTGTGAGTCACGTTAAAGTGTACATATGAAAAAAGATGAAACTAGACCTATTTTTATCGACAAAAAAGAGGTCAAAAATTTTTTGAGATTTTTTTTTAATTTTTTATAGATTTTTTTTTCTTCCAATTACTTATTGTAAAGAAAACGTAATAACTTTTAAACTAAAAGTTATATCTTGATAAAATAAAAACAGTAATAATGCTAAATAATAGACGATACTAAAAAATACATAAAATACCCTGAATATGCCAACAAATAATAAAAAATAATACTTTTTGAAAAAAATCTGCTTTTAAATTCGTGTTTTTTTGGTTATTTGATAAATTTCTCCAAAAAATGCCCCTATAACAGGTGGTTTTTATTACTTTGTATTATTCTCTATCATATTACCTTCGTAAAACCAAAAATCGCATGTCTCTATCTCTATCACAACGTTTGCTATCATCGTTTGAACAAAGGCCTGCCACAACATTATTCTCCGCTACAGGTAGGGACAATTTTAATTTTAACTAAAATGCTTATTTTACTTCGAAATCTTTTGTTTTTATTTGAAATCTAACTTGTCTTTATCAAAATTACAAATCTAGAGCCATTTTCAGTTTCGTTGTTAACGAAGCGTTGAATGGCGCGCCCGGAGAGGCTTAGTTCAAACGATCATTGCAAACGTTGTGATAGGGATAGAGACATGCGATTTTTGGTTTTACGAAGGTAATATGATAGAGAATAATACAAAGTAATAAAAACCACCTGTTATAGGGGCATTTTTTGGAGAAATTTATCAAATAACCAAAAAAACACGAATTTAAAAGCAGTTTTTTTTCAAAAAGTATTATTTTTTATTATTTGTTGGCATATTCAGGGTATTTTATGTATTTTTTTAGTATCGTCTATTATTTAGCATTATTACTGTTTTTATTTTATCAACATATACCTTTTAGTTTAAAAGTTATTACGTTTTCTTTACAATAAGTAAATGGAAGAAAAAAAAATCTATAAAAAATTAAAAAAAAATCTCAAAAAAATTTTGACCTCTTTTTTGTCTATAAAAATAGGTCTAGTTTCATCTGTTTTCATATGTACACTTTAACGTGACTCACACTGTATTATTATCGAAGTACATGGAACTAAAAGAGAAAGTTGTCTTTTTCTATGTTGAGACCGCAACGATAGGCCGGTATATTTGAAAGGACTATTAATATTTATTCTGTGTTGCTGGCGGGAATTAGTACCACTTGTGGTCACATAAGTGCCACTTGTGGTCTAAATTGAATAAATATTTTTGATTTTTTGATTTTAGCATTTTGAGGTAAGATGATCTCATCCACAAAGACGCGCCCCACCAATTTTTGGTCGAGGGAAGCGCGGGGTGCGGGGAGTTTGATCCGAGCAATCCGAGCGTCATTATTGTAGACATTGTAGTGTGCGAGTGCACTCATGGATAATTTAGCGTGTACGTACCTACCGGTAACAATCAAACATTAGCGCGGAAGCATGCTGGGGCGCGTCTGCCGCGCCCACTTTTTCCGTGGATATCCCAAAAAGGCGATAAGGGACCTTCGGCCTTCCCAACCCAAGTGTGGAGAGTGTAGGCCAAATCCTCTATTTGACCCATCATCATGACCTCTTATGTCATTCACGGGACGAGTGGCAGTAGTTAGTAGATCTACGAATTTTACGAAACTTATCCGTAAGTGAGACACACTTCCTGTGATGCGGATTTAAAGACTTAGCACATTTATCAACCCGGAAAGGGATCGTAACCGTATCAACTCAAGGCGGTCAGTATTCTTTGGCGGTCAGTATTTCTTTGAAACTCCATACTGCAACGCACACTTATCAGCACCGTACGTAAACGCCTCGCCTCGCAGTTTTTTTTAACCACAACGAGGAAGCTCTTGGCCTGTATCTCACCTGATGGTAAGTGATGATCAGGCCGAAGGTGGAAGCGAGCTTCAACCGGAATCCTCAACCA